AGGTCTCTAGAAACTTCCCCGACGAATCACTGAAAAGCCTGTGTAGTATTTTTGAAGCCGAAAGGCAGGCTCAGAAATTGGCAGAATCCAAAGTGAGTGATGATTGCGGTTTTAGGAGTGGCGTCTGCAGCCATTATAATTTCGTGATGTGTTTTGACCAAATCACATTTTTGCGAAAACAGTTGTGCGTTTTAAGATAGCCGTCAGATCGTGGATATGTAGCTTGAGATAACGATCAGGATTGGTTTCCATTCTCAGTCGACAACAATCACGAGGCGTACGCTAATCATTGCTGTCATTTATAGAGACCATGTGCTGTTTGACGGTTAGATAATTCCCAAGTCCATCATGAGCTTGAATATTTGGACAGTCCTAGTTTTTAAGGAGCTAGTCTGCGGGCTTTCAATAAGGAAATGAAGTTTCATAACCAAATAGTTTAGTATTTCTGTGTACTAACCTGCTTTTCCTTGGATTGATCAGTAGATTATAGAGATGTAACAAGTGGGAAAGTTCGCCGAAATGTTTGCCATGACGGATATCTTGAAAGTCGGTAAAGTAAAGGGTTTTTTGAATTATTTAGAAGACCTACCATACTTTTTGTGGGTCAAAAGCCATTCAGGGTTATCTGTTTCTAATGGTCAAGAGACAGATCTTTCCCTGACATGGTTCCTTGGGAAGTTTTTTGCGTTACGCTGACACGGTATTTATTATAAAGTGCTTATATATCGTTAAACCCTAGTTTATAAATCAATAATACCATTCAATTAACCCTTGAAGAAAAAAAATGGTTCGACCGGCACAAAAACGTGCTCGAAAAAGTCCTATTTCTTCAGATATTAATAACTCTGGTCTTACCTACACCCCATGCTCTGCTACTCCTGTTGCACCAGATAATAGTGGGAGTGGACTTATTCCACACATGTTTCTGGATGACTCTATGTCTAACTTAATAATGAGTTCTAACTCACGAACAGATGGTTTCGATCATATTAAGAGCGAATTAGCCGCTGTCTATAAGCAATTAAGTGATATACGTTCTAAAGTGGAGTCACTTGCGGGCTCTTTATTAAAGCATGATGATCTTAAACTAGAACTAAAGACACTGTCACCCCTTCGACTGCTGTTGTCAAAGGATATAGTTCCTTCTGAACTTGAAGACAGGATCAAAGTAGAATCCGTTATTGACTCGATAGCTAGCGAAGTCACCAAGCGAATAATCTGTCGAAATAATGTGATTATATATAATATACCTGACAAAGTTGCCATTAAAACTGTAAGAAACTCGATACTAAAGGCAGCTAACCTCCAGAACAGTCCATGCCAATGTATCCGACTTAACAAAAAGCATCAAAAATACTCGTGCCCTATCCTGTTTAGATTCGATTCCCATTTATTAGCGGAACGTTTGATAGAATCTGAACAGCTAGTCTGTGCGCATACGAAGTTTAAAAACGCTCGTATAGTCTCAGACAAAACCACCAATCAAAGATTAACACAAAAGCGTACCATAAACGAAAATAACGTTGTTGAGGTCACAACAAGTGTGATCGCGCCAGCAGCTGAACCCACAGGTGCAGCTAATTTATCTCATGTTAGTCAGTGTACTGATATACCAATGCAGTGTGTTACTTTGCCTCTCATACCCCTAGTGGCCCTAGATAACCAGGACATATCTGATGGAGACTCTAATGTCATTCTTTCCAGTGTAATATCGGAAGCCAAGGATCGTTCACCTGATTCTATTGTGGAGGCTCAAAAAAACACTGCTAAACCTAAAAAGGATATACCAATTAAGAAGAAAGTAAATAAAAAACCTTCTAGTTCTAAACCGATTACCAAAAATATTTCAACGGCTTTACCAAACAAAAGTATAATTTCTGAAACTATGCTTAACCCTACTCATCGTTAGGGAGGTTATATAGACACGTTTCGTTCAAACGTTACACAAGACGGCCACTACAACCATCATGCAAGCAGGCCTACTATTAGACAGACGGCAATAAACCAACGTGCCCCATGGTTTCCACCATATGTAATAAATAATAAACCTGCAAGATGTAACTCTTATCATCACTCTTGCAGTGGGGAAGATGGTATACTAGGTTATGCACCATCGACGCAAACCCAACATGCTGGCACCTGTCTTAATTGTCCACCAAAACAAGTACAACAAATTATTCAACCTTACCAAAATAAGGATTTTTTTCGGCCTCCAGAGATCCCTTGTTCCACTAGCACTACAGTTCGCTCATGCTATAGCCCATGCGATCCGACAAACACATTAAACCATAGTCCAGGCATAGCTAGAACTCATACCCTCGATACGGATGCTCTCGGTTTTTTTACACTACACACTGCCTTTTTAAACTTATTACTTATTAACGCACGTTCACTTCTGAACAAAATCTCAGCCTTGAGAACCTTAGCCTTTCTAGCCTTCTTTTATACGTATCACTGAAACGTGGTGTTATCCAGCAGTGGCCGATTCCGAATTAAATATCCAAAACTATCGACTCTATCGTTGTGACAAAGAAACTAAGCGAGGAGGCGGTTGTCTTATATTTGCTTTGGATACCTTAACAACTAATAAAGTTGAAGATAGTATCTGGAATAGTTTACCAGAATCGATCTGGATATCAATCAATACCCTAAACCATAGTCTACTCCTAGGTTGTATACATAGAGCTCCTGATAGTACTGATAATTTGAATGATCGTATTATCAATGCATTTATACACGCATCTACTCTAAACTTCAGTGCTAAGATTATCACTGGTGATTTCAATTATCCTGGGATTAACTGGAGTACCGGTAGTTGTCAGTCTAGCAATGATGAATTTTTATCAATCCTTAATTTGTACTGCTGGTCACAGTGGGTTCGTACCCCAACAAGGGGTGATAATACACTTGATCTAATATTTAGTAGAGATATCATTCCCCTATCTGTACAAGTATACAACGAGTTTGAAAGCAGTGATCATAGGATAGTAGCTTGTGCTCTCCCCATCTATCCCTCCTACAACCGACCAATTCAAAGAACCTGCAATTATAGAGACTATAAGCATGCAGACTGGGACCTCTTGCGCTCACTGATCAAACTGTCAGACTGGGATGAATTCTTCTCATGCAATGGTCTGACAGATGCCACCAACATATTCTATTTGATTGTTAACTCTTGTCTAGACTCCTGTGCACCAGTTAAGACTTACAGGATTAGTAAACATTACGAATTATATATACCAGCTAAATATCGTAATAAACTAAGACGCCTAAAGAAACGTTATTTTAAATCTAACGACTTCACGGCAGTCACACAAATAACAATAATTTTTAACCAAATTAAAGAGAAACATAGGTTAAAAGCCATCAATGAAGAGCTATTAGCACTACGTACTAGCTCAAGAGTGCAAACCCCTATCCACCTTTACAATAAACGTGCTAAATCAACTCAAAATGTTGATGTACCATGCATTCTGCATAATAATAGTTTTATATATGACCCAAAAACTATAGCAGACCTTTTCATCAGTTGTTATTTTGCAAATGGCAAAGAATCCATAAATGGCTCTGTTTCTAGAGTTATATGCTTGACTGGTAACTCAATTAAATCTATCTCCTTCACATGTCTGAAAATTAGTAAGGTTATAAATAAGCCCAGGGTTTCGAAAGGTCACGGTGCAGACGGGATTTCATCATTTCTCTACAAATATGGTGGTCCAGATATCCAACTTCTTCTCCTTAAACTGTTTACCCTCTCTATGGAATCAGGCTCTTATCCTGACCGTTGGAAAACCGCGTACATCCTACCACGTTACAAATCCGGAGATAAGATTGACATGAACAACTATCGGCCAATAAATATTACTCCAGTTATCTCTATTATCATGGAAAAAAATTATTAGTGACAAACTATCCAACTATTTATTGACTGAACAATTTATTGATGATTCGCAACATGGATTTCTTAAAAATCGATCCTGTATGACATGTCATTTTGACTTATTTAATTTAGTCTATTCGCTTCGTAGCCAAGGATATCTAGTATTAGTGCTATACCTGGACATTTCTAAGGCCTTCGACATGGTCAACCATCAACTTCTCATAGGTAAACTCGCATCTTATGGGGTCCAAAACCCGTTACTAGCCTGGTTTGATTCCTTCCTCAGCAATCGACATCAAATAGTTAAAATGAACTCTTCATTGTCAAATGCCGTCCCTGTTAGAAGTGGGGTAATTCAGGGTAGTGTCTTAGGTCCTTTGCTCTTTTTAGTGATATTTGTGAGTGTTTTAGTGTGGGTAAGTCCCTTTTGTTTGCAGACGATCTTAAGGTGGTGTACTCATTTTCTCCACATGAGCTGAGCAATATTCAAAATTGTATCAGCACGGAGCTTAACAAGGTAGCACAGTGGTGCTCGAAATGGCAACTGGAGCTCAATACAGCTGAATGTGGTTGGTTATGCTTCGGTGATACATCACTCAACCTTAATCTTACCATAAATGGGAAAATGTTATCTAGGTTACACACAGTAGTAGATCTAGAACTTAGGTACTCCGACGACTTGTCGTTTACTGAACAGATAATGAAACAAACGTCCAAGTCTCAACGCCTTATAGGTTTCATAACTCGAAACCTTCATAACAGCGAATCTCGTATTCTAATGTACAAAGTCTGTGTTCGACCACTCCTCGAATACTGCGCGTTTCTCCTTAGTAGCACGCGCATAAAGGATAAATTAAGACTGGAATCAGTACAGAGACGATTTACATTTCGTACTCTTGGACCTGATAGTGTCTTGACATATAATTCGAGGTGTAGTAAACTAGGGCTTGACCCTTTATGGATGAGGAGACTCAAACTTAACCTTACCTTCTTTTTCAAAATACTTAACAAACTCTCCTTCACATCCAGCCAGGCGATTCAATATGCTAAGGCCTCTCATTACGACATTCGTAACTCCTTGTCTTTAGCGAAACAAACATATTCTAGATCTTCTCTCTATATGAATTACTTTACCTGTAAGTTTTCTAGACTCTGGAATAATTTACCCCAAACTATCCGTATGTTAAACTCTCTCCCATTGTTTGTTCGCTCAATTAATGCTTTTTGCTCCTCTGAAAATGCATTAAATGCTCTAGCGCCTGCAAGTGTATCTTACTCCACAAGTGAGATTATAGGAACTTCAAATGTTTAACCTCTTACTTGCTATCATTGTTTTGGTGTTCCGTGCTCTTTGCTTTAATCTTACTTTCTCTAGTTGTAGATAATTAATAATGACTCGCTTTGGCACTGGTAATAACCTTACAGAACAATGTTGATCAATCATCAGGCTATCCACTTAATAAAAAAAATGACAAGTTCCCTGGTGTTGTATTGGCTTGCCGTGACATATGCCATATTCAAACTATTTATCAATTAGTAAACCAGCAAACATAAAACTTTCTTATATTTCATGTTTGTTCTCTACATTAAATGTTGATTTTTATAACACTGATCATGCCTGTAAACTGGTGTGAATTCTGTAAATATTATTTTCAGAATATATTATTATTATTAAGTTTTAGAACGTTTGTGATCACGATAGATACTAAGAAGTGAGAGTATGATAGAGATCAGGCTTATTATTTTAGTTCGTTCAAGGTTTTACATGATGGGGACAAACAAAAGTATTGGGGGTCCCAGTGATCTCCGGAATCCGACAGGTAAATGCAGAGAGTTTGTTCACGAAGTCACTTTGAAATGAAACAAGAACTGCCTGAACTTGTTGGGTAAATCGATACAAGAAAAGCTGCATAAACAGGCCTTCATCAAAGGTCGGTTGTCCGATCACCCTCCTTATTCGTAGCAATACTTCTGTTACAGAGCCATGCTGTAGTCCGATTTCGTGGAAGAGTTGATCTAACTTTTATCGTTGGCAAGACTAAAGAACATGGACAAGTCATTCAGAAGCTTTCGCGGGTTTTCAAGGTCACGGCGGTAATTTCGGAATATGATGCTTACGTACGATCGCTTTACGGCGGATTTTCGAGAAGACGTGATAATTGAGCGACTACAAGAAAAGGGATTATTAAGAAGCTCCTATACTTGTGACTGCGGTAGTCAAATGACCATTATACGGTGTGCAGACTATCGTGATGATATTATCTTTCGATGTCCTTCATGTTGGAAGAAGAAATCAGCTAGAACAGGGAATTTTTTTGCTCGGTCAAAATTAAGGTTGGGACAAATCATGCTCCTTGTTGCGAATTAGATAATAAAAGCACCGGTAAATCTAGCTGCCACCTTTGCCGATGTAAGCGAAGTTTCGGCAGTTCAGTGGTATGAGCTTTGCCGAGATATTTGTGCAACAAAACTGACAAGCGTACAGCAATTATATGGAGGAGTGGGGAACATTGTTGAAATAAACGAAACGGTTGTAAGGAAACCCAAATACAACCGTGGCCGTCGTAATCAAGAAGATTGGGTAAGTACCTCCTCCATAAATATACCTCACAGGTCCTTGGAATATATGATAGATCATTACAGAAAGGACACTTCCAAAGAGTCAGGAACCGACAGGCACCATTAATCATACCGATTATACAGCAATATGTGCTGCCGGGCACTACTGTTTATACAGATGATTGGAGGGCGTACAGGTGTCTAGGTAGACTGGGATATGTGCATGAAGTCGTTATACATAAGTGCCATTTCGTTGACCATACTACTGGGGTGCACACTAACAACATAGAAGCTATGTGGTCAAGACTGAAAGAGTTTTTGAGACCCTATCATGGCTCCAGAGGCAGACTAATGTGGAGCCATATGGATGAATTCATTTACCGCATGCAATATGATTTTAGAACTTCTGAACCTATATCCAACCTTGATAAGTGTTTAACTCATGTAAAAAACAGCATCCACTTTAATTTTTTGATTTTCTATAATAAATTTTTACTATATACTAACTGTCTTCTGATTGGCTTATATTTCTCAAGGTCATTTAAGATTCGTTCAAAGGTCGTACATGTTCTTTAGTGTCGCCGTAAACTTACTAAGTGTGACGTACCTGTTAAAATCCCGAGGTACAGCTTTCACTACTGCGAGGCATTGTACTCGTGGGTCGGTCACTTCATGTTCGTAGAAGTTAGCTTCTGCATAGCAGAACCAAGTCTCTCAGAATCGCATGATTTCAAAGGTGGGAGTACTAAACTTCAACAGCTCAAGTGTCTGTCCCGTCATAATGAAGATAAGATATACAAGTGGGCGAAAAATATGTCCGAAAATATAAAACAGTATCACCATGTATAAAAATAAAAGTTGAAAAATGCTTAGTAATATCACAACAAGGAACAGACTTACATTTTATTATTTGATGTATCAGATCACATTGGGCTCACCACTAAAAATCTCACAGGTACTCAGAGTTTGACAACAATTTTACAAATAACACCATCATGATCGAAGTATACTAACCCAGTCAAATCAGAGGTCAGAAATGAAGTGGTTTTGAAGATATATTTGGTCAGCTATCGATATATGGAGAAGTGTATGGTCTAAGCCGGCTAGCAATTGTAAGGTAAGTGTAACACCGGTCACCCACTCGTGATCTAGTGAGAATGCGTGACTGAGCGCCTTCAGCTGAGGTGTGTCCAGTAAACCAATGAGGTGGTCATCAAAATCAAAGATCTACAAAACTATTTATTTTGGATAAAGGTGCCACAAGTATTCGGAGTTCGACGACGTCTTAAACAGCAACATCTTATACAATCGAAATATACCAACCCAGTCTAGTCGAAAGTCAGAAGATAGGAGGTTTGAAGATATATTTAATAGAATATTCATACATTGAGAAGTGATCAGTCTAAGCCTGTTAGCAGTTGTAAGAGTTGTGAAGCACGACTTATCCATTCGTGATCTGGAGCGGATGCGTGACTGAGAGCCTTCAGCTAGGTGAGTCTAGTAAAACTTATGCTTTCAGAACCAGATTTTGGGGATTTATTTACCGCTACAACTCACATATTGTGCTACCGACTACTATCGACAGAAATACTCCTCTACAACTTGTTTATTGTAATATCCTTTCATCTGCTGCCCTTATATATCCGTCTGTTTTCTTGTTTTACCACTTTTCAACTGCCTGATTAGAGTGTTCTCTTTCTTTATTTGCGTTGACACTTCTATTCCCTCACCTTCTTCCTATTCTGCTCCTTAGGTTTCTCATTGAGAAACTCACCAGCTGACCTCCCTGCAACATAAAATCTCCCGGCTTTCACAACCCTGGTGCTCTATAATAAACAGACTTATTTGTAGTCACGATAATATTAATATCGACTATCAGATTCACTAGTATTAGTAAGGTCGATTGGCTTTATTATTCATAATAGAAAATGTCGATAATTTAGAACCTTTCATTGAAATTAGAGAGCTCAATAAATCGATTGATTAACAATAGTTTGGCAAGAAGACTCAGATATGTATTGTGTGTTAAGACCAAGGATAACAGTTTATTATGATTTACCAATTCTTTTTCCTATTATCGGCTATACACCTAGGTTCCTGCCTGGAGATATTGGTGATAAACTACTACTAGACATGGAAGTCCGTTAGTCGAAAGCTTCTTCTATTCCGTCCTCAACCATCTGAACCATTTGAATGTATTGGATATTGAAAGTTTAAAAGCGTCAATTTGAGGGATCTGTTACTTTGATTCCTTTCTTCCTCACATATTATTTCAGTGAATAAAGTAGGTTTGATAGATGTTTTTCAATACATTTGGATTATTTTTTTGGATACTACGACTGCTACATTAAAGTTTTAGCATTCATCCGGAGAGAGATTCAAACTCATATATTATTTCCAATTGAAAAATAATAGTCTGAATTTTGAATAGGATAACAAAGTATTAAGATCTATTTAAATGGCAGGCAAACTAAATTTTAACATAAAATACAAAAAATGGCGATTTGCGGTACTGTGTTAAAGTTTGTATTAAGGTTTAAGTCCAATACCTCAGACCTAAATCCCTTTGTTCGCTGAAGACCCTCTACATTCTCATTAAAACTGTCACCAAGATTTGGCTATTTAAACTCGTATAGATGATCTGCTATTATTACATATGTGAAACGGATCAATATTTGAAGTTGTTCAGAACGTGTTCAATTTGTAGATGCTGGTGAAAAATATTTCTTTCGAATGTTATGTAGTTTGTAAGGAAGGCATGTTTAGAATAAGGTTGGCCTTTTAGTGTCTATTTTTGGAGTTACAATGCAAACATGCATCATGGATTGGCTTACAGATGTTACCCACGTACTTATTTGACAGGATTCAAACCTAAATTCTGTTGTTTAAAAAAACACTATATCAGTAGATTGTTCCATACTCGAAGTATTCGACGAAGAGCTTGGTAATCCTACTTCTGCGCATTTAGCGGTTTGAAATATCCTAATGTTTGCTAATTCTGGTACTGAGAATAAGCTATTCAAACGAGTAGATTCATAAATAACAACAGTATGAAGCATCAAAACCCCAGATTTATATCTGAAAGGAAAGAAGTCTTGGGTATCCACTTATATTTTCCAATAAAAAATTAGCCTTCTGCAACAAATGGCTGTCTAGGTTCTCTGTAAAAATTGGGAGAACGTCGTAGTCATTGGTTAAAAACCAACGTATCACATGCCCCCAAATGCCCTGGTCCGGCCGAGAGTGGGGAGAGTCACCTCTCCCTCTCGAAATGCTCTCATATGGCCAGCGAATATATAGCCTCTGTCAGAGAAGTCCTACTCACTGCCTTCTTGTGGCATTAATGTTGTTTACGAAAGTGAGTGGACGAAAAGCGAATGTCCGGCGCTTTAACCGGGTTGGTGGATATGAAGGATCCACCTAGGGGAGTTGGAAAACCCTGATTCCAAACTAATGGTGCACATGGGCTCCAGTATCCTGAGGGAACAAATGGCGTACGAATCAACCGTTGATCACCGGCTACCATGGGACTGCATCTCCTCACGATGCTCCACTGCCTTGTGGATCAGACATCCAGGTCAAAGGCTCCGGGTGTGGGCCCCTAAGAAAACCACCTGCTTCGGTTTGGGCACCCGGGCAGTATCACAGCCCTCACACAAATCAAATGAGATTTGTGTGGCGCATATTTATCTGGTGCTTCCTTGTACCAATATTTATGTGTTTAAATAATAAATAAAACGTATCACATACTTGTAAACCGATGTATCCCATTTGCTTTTTTATGTGATCAGTGATCCTTTTATTACTCAATATATTTTCAGGCTCCTGCGGTTGAATAAAGGTCGACAACCTGCAGCAGTCACTTTGAATGTTTCGTTTACGAAATCTATTCAAAATTTTAATTGCAAATCATATTTTTGTAATCCCTTGCTAATTTGAAATAGTTTGTCAGGAAATTGTTCATTCAAAGGGCAGTTGGTTGACACTTATCATAAGAAAGTGTAGATTAAGAATGGAAGCAGTTCACCATGATAATCACGTACTAAAGCTTAACATGTATTCATAGGTAAAGCGTGGAAGAAATTATTGATTGATAAAACAGAACTCAAATAACGCGTTTGAGACTTATAGCTTATTATTTATTTATTTAAACACATATATATTGGTACAAAAGAGCACCAGATACATATGCGCCACACAAAATAATGAAAGTAGTAAGAGAAAGGATGAAAAGATGACGTGGACTAAAATGTACAACCAGAAAACACTTTCAGTTAAAAAAGTTGGAACCACTCTTTATGTAGAAAGTAAAAGAAGGTTGCAGCAGGATCGCCACTGGCTTCTATTCTGAGCCATATCCGATAACGTCTCTAGCCACTGTGTTGCATGATCTCTCGGACCCCAGCCAGGAAGTCGTGAAGGACCAACAGAAGCAGCTTTCTTTCATGCCACGACACCATGTCATACACTGACCTCCTCTCCGCTTTTTCCAACCAGTCCCAGAGTCAGCAAATAATGCACGACGTGGAAGTCTCTGGGACGACATTCGTAAAACATGTCCAAGCCACCAAAGTCGGTGTTTCAAGATGGTGACACCAATTGAATTATCGTCTTGGCGCCCGAACACACGATGCCGAACCTCTGCATTACTAACATGGTGTTGCCACTGGATGTCAGCAATCCTTCGGAGACAACGATGATCGAACACAGAGAGACGTCTAACATCCTCAACTCGGAAAGGCCAGGTTTCACAAGCATGGAGCAAAACTGCTCTCTCCGACGTGTTGTAGATCCGACCTTTTGCAGCCAAACTAACATCACGAAGGCGCCAAAGATTGCCCAGATTGGCATAAGCCGCTCTGGCTTTCATTATACGTGCATCAATCTCATCACTCACGCCACCACCAGCACTTATATAGCTACCTAGATACACGAACTTCTCAACTACTTCAATCTGCTCACCATCCAGGGTGAGTGCAGGATGAGAATCCTGCTATTCTTGTAGGAGTACTTTGCACTTGGAGGATGCAAAGCACATGCCGTACCTGCGGACACTGATTGCCAACTGATTAAGTGTGGATTGCATGCCTTGGGCATTATCGCACAGTAAGACAATATCATCCGCATACTCGAGGTCGAGAAGTCGTTCTCAGGGAGCAGATCCACACCGCCATTACTTACATCCATCAGAGCTGTTTCCGGGATGTCATCGATGGCAAAGTTGAAGAGGAATAGTGAGATTGGGCAACCCTGCCTAACCCCACTGCTCGAATGGAACAAGGGAGAAAGGTGGTTGTATGCCCTCACTCTGCCTGAGGTGTTCGTATACAGGGCCTTTAAGATGTTAATGAACTTCCCAGGCACACCCTTCTTCAATAGACAATCCCAGAGAACAGTCCTGTCCAACGAATCGAAGGCAGCCCTGATATCAAGAAACACTACGATTGTTGGCCTGCGATAAGTATGACGGTGTTCTAACATTTGGCGGAGGGTGAAGATGTGATCAATGCATCCTCGACCAGAACGAAAACCAGCCTGCTCCTCGCGAGTCAATCGTTCTCAGGTTTTAAACAACCTATGAAGAATGACAGAAGCCAATAGTTTGGACGCAATCGGAAGAAGACTTGTCCCCCGATAGTTGTTACAGGAACAACGTGAACCCTTTTTAAAGATAGGGACGACTACCGACTCATTCCATGATGTTGGAACACTTTCTTGCTCCCAAACCTTTGTAAACAACACCGTCAGTTCCTTAGCCAGAAAGTCACCACCATCTCGTCCCAACGTTGGACCCAATTAGATCACATCGCTATCAGCCACCGATGGAGGGGCTCGATAGAAGACTGTCGCTCATTCTGGGGCACATGTTTAGATTCAGATCATGCTCTAGTGCGAGCACGTATCTGTCTGCGTCTTACTGGTCGTAGGAAAGACACTGCAGGGAAGCCCCTAAGGGTTCTACTTAATGATAGGCAAGCTAAGAATATATTTCAGGAACAACTAGAAAAACAGTTAGGCAGCCATGTAAGTTGTGTCCACCCCGAGGCAGCGTGGAATGACATCCGAAAAGCTGTGGAAATAGCAGTGATATCCGCTAGTAAGGTAAACCATAACGTTAGGGAGAAACAATGGATCTCGGCAGCATCTACCGCACTGATAGATGCTCGTAAACTCATCCCACCTGGCTCTGAACATAACGAAGGGCGGAGTCAACTTAAGCGTAGGCTTATAAGAAGCCTACGTAATGATCGTGAACAGTGGTGGGTAGCGAAAGCAAGAGAGATGGAAAAGGCAGTGGCAATAGGTAACAGTAGGCAGCTATTCAGACTCGTTAAAGAAACCGGTATTAGGAGCCCGAATATCAGTGAAACCATCTCAGATAAAGATGGGCATATTATTCATTCTCAATCCAGGAGATTGGATCGATGGGCAGAACACTTTAGGGATCAGTTCAACTGGCCTTCAGCCACACTTCAATTACCCACGATCCCCAGTCGTCCTGAATGGCAAATTGATGTAAGTCCTCCAACCCTCTGTGAGGTTGAAAAAGCTATAGGAAATCTGAAGCGAGGGAGAGCAGCAGGCCCTGATAGGTTGACCCCTGAGATTTTTAAGGATGGTGGTCCAGTACTAGCAGTGAGATTGACTGAGGTCTTAGGTAGAATCTGGGAACTGGACGTAATTCCATCTGACTGGTCCCAATCACTGATTGTGCCAGTCTATAAGTAAGGACGAAAGTCCTCCTGTGACAATCAAAGAGGGATCAGTTTGACTAATATAGTGTCTAAAATATTAGCTTCAATAATACTAGGTCGCCTAACCAAAGCTCGTGAAGAGCAGACTAGAGAAAACCAGGCTGGTTTTCGACCTGGACGTGGTCGCATAGACCAGATACTCACCCTACGTCAGGTCCTAGAACATAGACACAAATTCAGACGTCCCACAATAGTAGTATTTGTTGACCTTAAGGCGGCATTTGACTACGTTGATCGTGAGGTTCTATGGCAATGTTTGTCACTGAAAGGAGTACCAAAGAAGTACATTAACCTCATAAAGGCTCTCTACTCGAACACAACTGGTCGAGTTAGAGCCTATGGTGAACTGTCATCAGAACTGATTACCACGAGTGGCGTTCGTCAGGGCTCTCCACTCTCCCCATTCTTGTTTAAGTTTGTCACTGACATACTTTTAAAAATATCGCTTGCATCATCTGAACCTCCAGGAGTTGAACTTTTACCGGGAGATTCACTTGTTGACTGAGAATACGCCGACGACATAGTTTTACTCGGTGAAGACGCTGGCAACTTGCAGAGTTTTCTGACCACTATAAGCATCTATGCAGGCATGTTCGGGATGCGATTCTCTCCCTCGAAGTGCAAAATGTTACTTCAGGATTGGGTTGCAGCGACACCTGAACTAATGATAGGGAGTGAAGTAGTTGAGCGTGCAGACCACTTCACTTATCTTGGGAGTCTCATCAGCCCTTGTGGTCTGGTATGTGACGAAATCTCAGCACGGATACAGAAGGCATGTCTAGCTTTCGCCAACTTGCGTCATTTATGGCGTAGGCGAGATATCCATCTAGCAATCAAAAAACGGGTTTGCTGGGCAGCAGCAGTTCGTTTCGTCCTACTTTGTGGCAGTGAAACCTAGCCGGTAAGATTAGAGGATATTCGTAGGCTACTAGTATTCGATCATAGGTGTCTTCGACGCATTGCTCGTATAACCTGGGACCACCGAGTAGGAAACGGGTACTAGGTAAGGATGGAAAATCGGTTGATGAAGTAGTTAAACTTGATCATTTGAGATGGCTGAGACATGTGTTACGTATGCCCGACCACCGACTGCCCCGACGTGCAATGTTTCATGGTGTAGGAGTAGGTTGGAAGAAAGCTAGGGGTGGCCAGACCAGAACGTGGCACAAATCCATGAAGTCACTGACAAGTGAACTGAGCCATGTTGGTAGGTGTAGACTACCTGGTTGGGATTCGCGAGATGATGGCAACCGATGGTTAGAGACCTTGAACAACATGGCTCAAAATCGTTTGCAATGGCGAAGGTGCATCCACTCTTTGTGTTCTACCAAATTCTAATCTTCTGAATTCCTCATGTCTTTATCTTTTTCTCTTTCCAAATTTATTTCACTGTACTATACTCCGTCAATAATTTCTTCAAACCCTAATCTTTTGGATTTCTGATTATACTCCTACTACTTCTACCACTATGGGATTTGAATCGACAACTGCATCTCTGTGCTAATGTGGTATGGCAACTCGAACTGATGTACGTACGTATGAAGTTCTACGTTGTGACTGACTGACTGATTTGTAGCGCTTCAAGAGTTGGAGTTCCTTGCGGACTTTCGCCTCGTTTGGTGGATCAGTCGTCACCGGCCATGGGGGGCAGGACAAACTGGTTGATGCTGCCGGAGCAGCAGGCCAGTTGAACTGCCCTTCGAAAAATTCCGCCCATCGTCCAAGACGTCGAGAGATGTTAGTGATTGGCATCCCATCATCCTCGTAGATTGTTTCACTCACACCAGACTTCTTACTGCCAGTGGCTCGGATGAGTTGGAAGAGCTTCCGGCAGTTACCAGACGCAGCTGCTGCTTCCATCTCATTAGCACGCTCCGACCACCAGGCTTCCCGGTCCTTACGCAAGCTTTGCCCGATTTCATTACGTAACAGCCTTCGTTTGTGGTCAAACTCACGGTCACCCGGAGTAGACCGACGGGCTTCCATCAGTTGTAAGGAGCCAGGAGAGACCCAGTGCTTGTAAGCGGGACGTTTCGCGAAGCCGCAAGCGGCTTTACTCGCCATTTTGATGGTGTCGTGAAGATGCAAACAATGCTCATCTATACTTTTCGGTGGGATGGTAGCTGGCCTAGAGGCTAGCTCCGCTCGATACTTACTTAGTGCTAGCCAGAAACAGGTTGTGGTCTATGCACAGTTGCAGCAAACGGTCCCCGTTATCTGTCCTGCGACCAACAAGTCCCCATCGGCCACCTAAACGACTTTCTTCTGTGCCTAGACGCCCGACCTGTGCATTCAAGTCTCCGGCTAATACTACAATATCTGTCGAACGCGCATTCTGGAGAAGAACTGTTAACTGGTGGTAAAACTCATCGTTGATTGCATCCGGGCTGCAATCTGTCGGGGCATAGGCGGAGATGACGAAAAGACACCGTTTCTCACGCTGGTTTCTTCTCACTTTGATGGAACTTTCTAATCTAACAGCACATAACCGACTGTTAATGGGGATCCAATCGATTAGTGCTGCCTCAGCCCTAGCGCTTAGTGCAACACCAACGCCTGCAAGACCAGACGAAGATGCCACAGAGTCCCCGGATAAGCGCACGTGAAACAAGCTTTTCGAAGCGACAGATGGAGAGCGAATTTGTAGTACTTCACTAGAGTCTTGAATACGGGTCTCGGATAGACAGAAAACATCAACATTAAGACTTTCTAAAAACATAGCCAGTCCCATCTGTTGTCCGATCTGCACTAGTGTGCGAACGTTGAAGGAAGCCAGCTTGAACGGTGTACGTGGTTTCAGAAAGACTGCTTCAGTATTCGTAATCGGTGGAAGCATTCACTTTCAACCAGACAGTGACTGGAGATCGTTTAGATAGGACAGAGTTTCCACCATGGGCGAGCTACTGCATAAGTTGGAAAGAAAGGATACACAATTTGGGAATAAAGGGAGTGAAAAAGCGACGTAGTAAATAATAGTAATAATAATAATAGTAATAACAATAATAATAATAATGGTAATAATAATAATAATAATGTAAATTGTCTTTCTTCTACTAGGAACGAGAGGAGTGTAGTTAGTGTAGTGCTTCATTTCATGTCATTTGTGTGTGGGCTGTGATACTGCCCGGGTGCCCAAACCGAAGCAGGTGGTTTTCTTAGGGGGCCACACCCCGAGCCTTTGACCTAAAGATCTGATCCACAAGGCAGTGGAGCATCGTAAGGAGATGCAGTCCCATGGTAGCCATTGACCAGCTGAAGGTTCATTCGCCATTCGTTCCATCAGGATACTTGAGCCCATGTGCACCATTAGTTTGGAATCAAGGTTTTCCAACTCCCCTAGGTGGACCCTCCGTGTCCACCAACCCGCTTAAAGCGCCGGACATTCGCTTTTCGTCCTCTCACTTTCGTAAACAACATTAATGCCACGAGAAGGCAGTGAGTAGGACTTCTCTGGCAGAGGCTGTATATTCGCTGGCCATATGAGAGCATTTCGAGAGGGAGAGGTGACTCTCCCCACTCTTGGCCGTACCAGGGCATTTGGGGGTTATAGCTTAGTGCCTAGAATTTCAGTATCTAAATGTTGTGAACAAAGAGATATCGATCAGTAAGTCTAATCCATATAAGCTCTATTCTGTCGATCTACTGGTAAAAAGTCCTTCCTCGTTCATGGTTTTGTTTTAGTTTACTGTTGATGTGACCCACTACCTATTTTTATTATTGAATCAGTTTGCATGGATCTATCCATCATTTAACACTAAAATTAACAGCACGGATTCAATGGACAGTGACATATCCACGATATCGCGATTGGACAAAAATCTGGTCCACAAAATATGTTCTGGTCAGGTCGTAGTAACTCTAGCTTCTGCTGTAAAAGAGCTCTTGGAAAATAGTATTGACGCAAAGTCTTCTAAAATAGGTTTGTTTACTTTCTTCGTAAATATTTCGATCGTAGAAATTCGATTAAGGGGCCATGGCAGTGAGTCCATCGAAGTGATTGATAACGGTGTTGGAATCAGAGAAGAAGATTTTGAGGGTCTCAGTAAGTTAAAATTTACCTTAAGTCAAATTATTTAGCTGGGAAATATTGCACTTCAAAGCTAAGTACCTTTGATGATTTGAGTTGTGTTGAAACCTTCGGCTTTCGTGGGGAAGCTCTTTCTTCTCTTTGCCATTTAGCGTAAGTTAAATAAGTTTTTATTCCTGTTTTTTTTCAGTCTTAATTTTCAAACAAAAATCCTAGTTATGTTTATTTTCGCATTTAATATTGTGTTCAAATATGTCACTTGACTATAATAAGTAACTTTGTTTGCTGGGCAGTTATATAATCTCTTGTTACCAATTCATTTGTAAGCCTAATATCAGTAATTGGAGTTGGTAAGCAATCGTCACTTGGTATGGAAGTAATTCACATCGACCATATAGAAGTTATATCTCTGTATCCGAAACAAAAGCACACAAATTTACCAGTAATATTAGTTGAATATTTCAACATATGAGCAGAATAAATAAAAAGTAAGATCATAAGTAAAATGTGGAGAAATTTTTGTGAGGATATTCATATGCTGAAGATAACAGATGATTAAATCCCTTTTTCACTGTAATCTATCATAATTCGTAATTGTATTTGCTTCTTACTGTTTTGTATAAGAGTAAATATCTCTTCGTAAAGGAATCTTACAAACTTAATAGACTGTTATTTCAGTTAACCACCCTAGTTTATAGCTTTTCCGCATCTCTAACCTATGAATTATTGTCTTAGAGTCAAAGCTTTAAGATGTGAAGGGTAAAGGGATATACTTTTATTGTTGGTTTAAAAAGCATCACATTTCTTTGCTTAAGTTACTGATTTCTAATTTGCTGGCTGAAAAGTTCTAAATTATTCCTTCCGTACAAAATATCCATTTCTTCGTCTTTTAGAAAAGTTACCATACATACCTGTGCATTAAATGCTAAAATTGGCACAAAACTTGAGTTTGACTCTTCTGGACAAATAACAGATCGTCGAAGTTTAGCAAGATCTCAGGGTACTACTGTGTGCGTTAATCAACTATTTTATGATCTACCTGTTCGTCGGCGTCATTTAACTGACCCAAATAGATTACCAAAAGAATTCGCCAAAGTTATCAGCTTGTTAACAGCTTATTGTCTTGTTTCCATTGGTGTACAAATTTCGTGCAGTCGTATCGGAAAGAAAGGGTAAGACTATGCCATTGTTTTTATTTTGTTAGGTGTTTGAAAGTAGTCAACATAAAATCTCTATTCGGTCTAGATTTCGTGCTATTTGGCACTTACAAGCACGGTATACATGTAGTCTTGAGGGAACTGATGTTTCCTGTCTAACTTGAACTCATGTCAACCAGCCTCTTGGCATGAGGCGTTACCACTAAGTTATTCGGGCAGTTACTGGTCTCCAGTATGACCGGGATATCTATAACTGACTGATCGCTGGGTAGTGATTCATGCTGGGTTTGCCGAGTCCTTTAGTGGGGGGTCACATTTTATTTGCAAAGTTGTAGTGTTGTCACTAGTCTATTTTTCTCTAATTTGCCGCCTATTACCAGTTTCCCAAACTTAATAATATAACATATTGAATCATATTGTGTCCGGTAGGTCGAGATTTTGAATTGTTAATAAAAAAATTGTTCATTGTCTTTGCTAACTAAAGCTTTGTTTTTGATTGTAACGAATGTAGTTGGGTGTTAATATAATAATCACATTGAATTTCGATTTGTTACTCAACTTAATTTTGATCCCGTACATCATGCAGCGATATTAAATACAATGGATATATTGTTATCTAATAAATAGATAAATAAATAATCAGCCTTCTTGAAGTCACATTGCTGCAACCATATTCAATAACTTAAATTCTAAATTTCAATCCATCGATCAGTAAGTTTTGTGGTAATTCCTATTCCTGAAAAGTGTTCTTCAAAATCACACCAACTTATTAAAGCCTCTTCATTCAAATGATCCTAATCGTTTGTTCAACTGCCCGTGGATATCATTTACCGTTGTAGACCATGTTTTATAGATAAGGAGTAATTCTAAATAAACATATTTGTCAGTCAGTCATCCGCAACGTAGTACCAGGCACATACATGCATCAGTCCAAGTTGCCATACGTCATTAGCATAAAAAGACTGACATAGTTTGACAAACATCTTGTCTGCATGGTTACATGTGAGAAATCCAAACGAAACCTCCATAACCGTGTCAAAATTTCGTCAATCTTCATAAACATGCTGGCAGACTAATAGTTTGGAAAATATGTCGATTTATGCACTTCACGTGTTTTTTTTTCCGATAGAAATCTGTTAGATTCTCACTTAATAGAATGGGTGGTGAGTAGGTTTCACTGTAAAACCATCCAGCTCAAAGAATGGAGTTTCACCAAAATTATCCTTCTGGACTACATCCTTCTTCATCAACTCGGAATTGTATACTTAAACACTAATTGGTACGACTAAACTCCAAAAATTATGTTCTTAATGTGAGGTGACATAGTAAAACTTCTATCTTTATTTGTGATATATGCGTTCTACGAGCAATTACTTATCAACATAAATTATTGGCAAATACAAGGAAATGCTTTTGTTTGTTGGTTGATAAAAGTTGTGATTGAGTTTACTATTAGGCAGGAACATTTGAATTTCACTAAGGATTTGTTAACGTGTACTAGACAAAGCATTATCTACTTAGTTACTTAATCCTACTATCCCTCTTGAGTCAAAATCCACTGACTAGAGATTTGGAATTGACCTTATGGCTCCATAAGGTTAGGATATTGCTAGGGTGTTGTTTACGAAATTGAGAGGACGAATAGCGAATGTCCGACGCTTTAATCGAGTTGGTGGACACGGAAACTCCACCTAGGGAGTTGGAAAACCCTGATTCCAAACTAATGGTGGACATGGGCCCCAGGATCCTGAGGGAAGAAAAGGCGTATGAACCTATTGTTGGTGACTGGCTACCATGGGACTGCATCTCCTTACGTTGCCTCACTGTCTTGGGGATTAAACCTTCAGGTCAAAGGTTCGGGGTGTGGCCCTCTAAGAAAACCACCTGCTTCGATCTGGACACCTAGGCATTATCACAGCCCTCACATAAATCAATGATAACCGCTACTGGCTTCACTGTTGTTGTGTGTCGCAACCATCAAAACACTACTTTAACAAAATAATTGTGATACTAGACAATCGATTTTTTTCCCCAACTATTTTCACAAATGATTTATGTTTGACGAATAAGTTAAAACTTGAACTAAGGGAAAAATACAGATTATTCATTTTGTTTTATTTATCTTCTTTAGCGAGTTGATTAATGTAATTTCAAATGGACCTTCTATATCACTTAAAGATAATATTTCTGCCGTATTTGGTCATGCACAGGTAGGTACGCACATATACATGAATAATAATGTATTATCACAGTTATGTTGATTTGAAGTGAATAGTGTTGTAAATAAATTAATATGTTTGTACTACCTCAATGAGGAGATAATTAGATTTTGCTGACATTTCACAACTCAATATAACAATCTACCCAATGTTCAATTGATTCGAAATGATCAAGTCAAACCTTATTAATGATACCTAAATAATATTGTGCTTTTATGGATATTAACTAGTGTTCTATTGTATATCGTTGTTGAGATTGGTCATAAAGTATCAAGTTTAAAACATTGTCTTCAGGTTCTACAATCATATGTCCAAATAATTAATCCGAAGAAATGGTCAGGTCAAGGGCTAAATACATCGTTTGAAGCATGTAAATTTAGGATTGTCAAACAAAATAGAATAAAATTGTTAATGTTGATATTGACTCATATGGAATGAATCTGTATACATGTTAAGTGAAAATGTTAAGATCTATGATCAGAATACATATGGGTGAGAGAGAGATATGATAGTACAATTACAATTCGATCAAGTGGAAGTTCTAGGAATTTACATTTTCGTGCTCATGAACACCTCCCAGCGTCGCTAAGTAAAGGTCTGATGAAGAAAGTAAACGGCTCGATATTGACCCATTTAGTACAAACTGGTCATAGTGCCAGTATAAACCAATCATTTTCAATCATTTATAGGGTCATTAATTTTTAGCCAAAGCTTGTCAGGCTTAAAGTCCCTCAAATGGCGGAGGCATTAGCCATCAGCATGAAGAAACCGCACTTATGTGTACAGAAGAAATATCTTCAACCCGTGCTCCTCCCTTGGCTGACCACAAGGCCAATTAATCAATAGTAATCTTAGCTATTGGTTGACCTAATTTGACTATGTACTTATGACCTTTCGTAGTCAAATGTAATTGTCTCTCTTATCTTTATTCACAAATCTTTGTATTTATTATTATTATGGTTAAGCATAATTATTAATCCCCCCATAGACATGATTCATTCGCGTCTCAGTGATCCCTCCTCCTTATTACGTCTCACTAATTTTTCACACAATTTAATCTTCCACTTGATCGAATTGTAATTGCACTATCATACCTCTCTCTCACCCTATCTGACCCATATTTATATTCTGATCACAGATCTTAAATTTTCACTTACCATATATGCAGATTCAAGTAAACATTCTATATAAGTCAATATCAACATTAACAATTTTATTCTATTTTGTTTGACAGTCGTAAATTTACATGCATTAAACGATGTACTTTGCCTTTAACCCGGATTATTAATTTGGATATATGAATTGTAGAACCTGAAGAAAATCTATCGAAAAGAATATTCTTCATTCAAATATTAGTCTTTTAATATGATAGAGATCTTTCAACGTTTGAAACATTGGTTTATCCGTTTAAAGCGTTTACTCTCAATATGATTGACCGCATATGTCATAGTTTCTCAGTAGAACTAACAGAAAATTATTTTGATACTAAGCGTTATCGTCTATAAAAGTGCGGTTTGTTTCAAAAGTTCTTACAAGCTCTAGTTAAGAGTGACAATACTAGTAATAATCCTCAGTTTATTCAACTCCATATTTAGTTTGATCATAGTAAAGAAAACGCTCAACACAAATTATTCAGATTTGTAAAAAAATTCCTGTTTTGTAGCCACCTAATTTGGAATACTTAAAAATTATTATGTGAAGACGTTTCTAAATACTTAATAGTTTTCATTCATATTCATAGACAAGTGTTTACAACCGTTCTGCTGTCCAAGAGAACCTTTTTTCATAGCTAAATATATTTGACTTGCCAATCGTATAGCAATCACTTCTCTTCTTTCAAAAGACAGGAGAAGAAAACTATATAAATTGAAAGCGTGAGTCAATTGAAGCTAGACCACCAGGGAAAACCTGGGAGTACTGGACGACCGTTTCATCCTATTGTGGAACTCCTCAACAGTGCGCATCCATGATCTTTCCTCGCGAGATTCGAACCCAGGACCTACCAGTCTCGCGCCAGAGCACTTAACCGATAGACCACTGAGCCGGCATCCCATAGTGTTTATGTCTAATTCCAAACAATCCGCGAGACTGATAGGTCCTGGGTTCGAATTTAGCGAGGCGAGGTCATGGATGCGCACTGCTACTGGGGAGTCCCACAATAGGACAAAACGGCCGATCAGTGCTTCCAGGTTTTCCCTGGTGGTCTAGCTTCAATTGACTCACGCTTTCAACTATGAAAATACTGAAATCTCCACAAAACCCCCCTTCTGATAACCATATAAATCATTGTGATGGTATTTCTTGAGTTTTACTATAATTAGATTAGCAATTGATTGTTATCATGTAGTGAAGTGCAACCATAAAACAATCAGTTGATTATAAGTTTGTTTCAATAGAAACACTTGTTTTAAAGGTATATGACTCAAACGATTAAAGAGATCGTAGATCAATATGTAATAGACTAATATCAATTAAAGATTCATAGAAAACTAGTGAGTATTGTTAAGATACTTCTTTCTAGTTTAAAAATCCGCAGCCTTGGTACTTTTATTTGTTTAAAAAAACTAGAATTCATTTACACTGTACATTTTTAATGATGTAACTATCGTAATTTATTGGATAGAGATGGATTGTGTCTGACAGTGGAATTCATTTCAAACTTTTTCAGCGTATTTTCGGCTTATCAGCTGAGTGTATTTACATTCTAGTTTTGATTTTCACATTGGTACTCATAATAGAGTGGCTTTATCAAGGTAACCTGGATAAAATACACTTATACCACTATAGACCGATTAAAATTTCGAACTGAGTCCTGATTATCAGTAACGGGATAATTCAAACTAGTATTATTACTACTACCACTACTACTGCCACTACTACTACTACCACTACTACTACTACTACCGATACTACTATTACTAGTACTACTACTGTGGTGTGACCTACTTATATCCATATAAGTAGTATATGGTGATGGTTGGACATAGAATGTACTTCAGTAGAAGATCGATAAGGAAAGAACAGGAATGAAGCGCAATTGGTAGGAAAATGCATAAACAGTGAAATTAGAGAAGATGCATTGATATTTACAGAAGGAACAGTGAATATTGAGACAATTGATAGTTATTTTGCAAATTAACTGTTCGTTGTACGGTTATCAGAATTGAGTGAAATAGTATGTAATTTGCGTCTACATACATTTGATTGTCCCAACCAGTGTTTTGTTCACTACACTACCACTAATAATAATAATATACCCTAGATGATATATTTCTGTTGTCTTCATTTGTTATTATACATGTATTTTGGTATATTTTCAGTTGGATAATCTTGTTGAATTGGAACAAATTGATACTATCCCAGAAGATATTTGTGATGAGTTCAATATAAAATCCTTATCTATTGAACATTCTATCAAGTCAGTTTATAGCAATAATTTTTTGTATTATATCATATTTGTTCAATAAAATATATAAACTATACAAAATAACATTTAAAAAAAAATGGTTGGTTTAGTCAGATTAGATGGATTATGGTTACCAGTGTACTTAAGGATTCTTGTCTCGTTCCATTTACGATCTGTTAACAAGATTTACATCTGCATCTTAGTGTTAATGTTTATATTGGGACTCGAATCTTTCACTTCAAACAGACATCACATTATCCGCTAAGCTACTGGGTCCAGTTAACGTTTTTTTTGTTTTTTTAAATATAGAACTCGAGAATGGAATTTAAAAAAAATTAGTTATCTAAGATCTACATTTTCTTCTACTTGGTCGCTTCTGTTAGTAATAATAATAACGATAATAATTGTATATATTCTTAATTGTTTCAGAATATCTGGATACGTAAGTAAACCTCCTGATCCTTCTACAAATACATCATCACTGATTGGTAATTCATCTCCATCTCCATTACTAGCTAACAAACGTCGAACATCTATTGGCTATTCTTCATCAGAACGTCAATTTATTTATATTAATGGCCGACCATGTGACTTGCCAAAAATTACACGTTTAGCTACTGATTTATGGCGACGTTGTTCCAAAGAAGCCTATTCATCTATAACTAGTGGGATAAGTTTACCTAATCGAAGTACCACTAGTACATTTCCAGTCCTTATACTCCTATTTACAATGCCTACACGTCAGTACAATTAACTAATTACTGAATATTGTTTGTGGTCATATTTATTTGTCTATTCTTTTAGAACTAAATGAATGTTAGCAATAGATTTGTCGACTTGTTGAAGTGTCTTGATATCGCTTAGATTATGTTGAGATATTAAGTGATTGAAAGTAGTTGAAGAGGAATCCCGGGCTTGAGTTTTGCGCTAGTTGCTACTTATCACTAACGTGTAGTGTTGAGGGAACTTTTGCTACCTATAACGTTCAAACCACCTGTTGACGAGTACCAACTAGCGCAAAACGTATGTACAGGGTATTTTATCAACTACCTCCAGCCATCTAAGATCTGAATATAAGTATTTGTTTTTCTTCGTTTAATTGACAACTCGATGTGAATATAATAGTGTATGTGTATCACTCAGAAGTTAATAAGGATTAATATAATTCATGATTTCTGTCATTATTTTATTTAAACACATATATTAGTACACGGAAGCACCAGATACATATGCGCCGCATAAATCTCATTTGACTTGTGTGAGGGCTGTGATACTGCCTAGGTGTCCAGATCGAAGCAGGTGGTTTTCTTAGAGGGCCACACCCCGAACCTTTGACCTGAAGGTTTAATCCCCAAGACAGTGAGGCAACGTAAGGAGATGCAGTCCCATGGTAGCCAGTCACCAACAATAGGTTCATACGCCTTTTCTTCCCTCAGGATCCTGGGGCCCATGTCCACCATTAGTTTGGAATCAGGGTTTTCCAACTCCCTAGGTGGAGTTTCCGTGTCCACCAACTCGATTAAAGCGTCGGACATTCTCTATTCGTCCTCTCAATTTCGTAAACAACAGTGATGCCACGAGAAGGCAGTGAGTAAAACTTCCCTGGTAGAGGCTATATACGCATGTCCATGTGAGAGTATTTCGAGGGGGAGAGCGATCTCTCCCCACTTTCGGCCGTCTGTCAATAACAAATAATTTAGTAGATTTGACTTTATGTAGTAACATGTCAAATTGTCTAACCTTTCCTTCCACGCGATAATCTCAATCAGTGGTCAGAGATGTTAGCTAACTTGCCTGCTTTCGATTTCTTTGCTGTTCATCTCATTAATCTGATCTTGTCAAGTTAGGTGGTTCTAGTTAGGCAGAAAACATGCTGGAGCTATGTTTCGTGCTTGCTGACACTCATCAACATTATTTACTTGTAAACTGATGTTCCCTTTGTGATTTACACCTGCGTCAGTCAACATCTTAGTCTGAGATATTATCACTGGTCTATTCTGATAGCTAAAATGAACCATCTGTCGAACTGAAATATTTGTATTCATTTTGTATTCTTTTTCTGTTCTTTCGTTTTTCTTCTTGCGTCAATTTTCATTTTCTGTTTTTATATTTTAGAATCTGTCGATATAAATTTAACTCCGGACAAACGAACTTTATTATTACATCATGAAAATTATGTAATGGCTTTAACAAAAGCTGTACTAGTTAAGACTTTATTTAATTCATCAGGTATGGATATTAGTAGTTTATCACAAACGAAAATTGATTTTGATCAATCACAAATTGTTACTGATTGTGATCAATTGAATGATGAATCACAAATAAACTGTGTAAGTGGAGGTGTTTTCTACTTAACTATTATGTTTATAGACTGATTGTTGGTTATACCGTGTAAATACATAATCTGTGGAAACAAATGATTGTGTTATTTGGTTGGAGGGTTTGAAAGGAAAACCATTCAAGATGTGTTATCATCTCTTTAGGTCATCGACGTTTAGTCGAAACCGTGTAATCAGATGAAGTTTATCTGATTAGGGTTCGTGTGACAATCGTTATAGACGCTTGAAAACACTAGGTGATATATCTAAAAATCAGTCATATTGTTGCAGTTATGTTTATTCTTTGTTTATCTTCATAGATCCTAAGTTGCAAAATTATTTTATGATTTTCATTCCATGGATTGGCTCTTTCTTTTTGAACCACATAGTCTTTATATTTATTCTCTTTACCATCATTGATGCTATTAAAATTTTAATGCCTTTCGTAAATATCCCATCAACTTTACACCATTTGTGCTGATACAATTCGGGGACTGGGGTCAATCTTCGTCTCTATCAGACCTTACTTTGATAATCTTTGACAACTGATTACTATAAGTTATGATGTATTCCATTTTTCTCAGTCAGTTTCCGTTTTTTACTGCCAACTATCAGTGATTAAAATTCCTTCAGTTTGTCTCATTTTAGTTATTATATACAAACATGTGTCTTTCCTATATTAATAACTAGGCATTTTTTGGATTATAGGTTTCAACTCCAATTCATAAACGTCATTCACCTCCTGTACCAGATATCAGTTGTGTATCACCCAAAAGAGGTAATTATCATCATTATTTTTATCTTGTTGTTGTAGTTAAGCTCACGTAACGCTTACTACAAAAACCTCTGTTCTTATTGAATGCTGTTTAATCGTTACTGAATAGTTTCTGTACTGGATAAGTATGTATCAATATCGAGTGCTGTTAAAGGTGTTTGGGCCGTTGTCAATTCCTGGTCGCCAACGCTAGGTGGGTACGTATTTTTGACGCCCCTGAAAAGGAAACTGGATTACTTGTAGTTTCAGCAACTAGGGAATGTGACTACAGTCTTAAGGGACCGTAACTCTTCATACACCACCCTTATGTGGTTAGTTTTTGATGTGTCAATCCTGTACTTTTAAAGCCATATCAATAGCAATGAAAGCCTATGCGGTGGTCTGAAGTTTGTTTTTTAGGGCCGACTTTCCATACGACTCAGTTGTAGAAAGGTAAAATCACTGAAGGTGTTAGTTTCCTGAGGAAAACATATTGCTTACGTCACGTCTTCCAGTGCAGTCATCACTAAGACTTTACCCTCGAATCCCGAGTTTCCTTCTTTTACTGTAACATTCTCCAACTAACCAGCATAGCATGGTAAGACTAAGTATTCCAGTCACTATAGCTCGATTGGCTCATCACTCTCTCAAATTTGATCAGTGCTTCAAGGTTAATAACTGTGGTGCGGATGAGTACATGTATCATACAATTGTTTTTATAGATTCAGTAATTGAATCCATTAGCTAAGTTAGAACATTCAATCTTATAAAATGTTCGACTATTTTTAAAATAATAATTTGATGATTATTGATGGATTATCTGAACTCTATAGTGATGAAACTCAAGTTTATGCAACAGTGTACCCGTATTCTACGGCTCATGTGTTCGAGCATGTTATGAATTCACTTTTTATTTTCTAAATTGATAGAATCATCAAATTATTGAATCCATTGATAATAATAAGTCTTGCTTACTTCGATTAATACTAATGAATTTCGCTTTACTAAAATACCCACTTAGTACGCTAATATTGACGAAATCCAGCTAGTTCTTTCTGTTTTCGAATTGTCTAATCAGAACATAAGGGATGAACTATCTGCTTTACTCAGTCAGCTACAACGTAGGACCAGGCACATTTATGCATCGATCCAAGTTGCCATACCTCGTTAGCACAACAAGATAAACACTGGATTCATAGAAGTAATTAATTTAGTGGTGGTAGTAGTATATAAATTATAGGTTGCATATAAGGATATAGTACAGGAAGGAAGAGAGATATGAAGCAATTTTAGTCTCAAGGTTTAAGGGAAGATAAAGAGTGTATACACCTACGCCATTGTGATCGATTCTGAGCCATGTCACACAGTCTCCAACCTTTGGTTACGATAGTCACGCGGACCCCAACCAGGTAGTCTGCACCTGCCAACATAGCTCAGACTAGAAGTAAGTGACTTCAAACACTGATGCCATGTTTTGGTTTGGCCGCCCTTAACTCTCTTCCAACCATCCCCAATACTAGTCATCATAGAGCGTCGTGGTAATCGGTGTTCAGACATACTTAACACATGGCCCAACCATCTCAGTCGATGAAGATTCATGACCTCATCAACTGATTTACCATCGTTCCCTAATACCCTGCGTCGAACCTCACTATTACTTACCCGGTTATCCCAGCAGATGCGAGCAATATTTCTAAGGCATCTGTGGTCAAATACTAGTAACCTACGAGTATCTTTTACTCTTAATGGCCATGTTTCACAACCGTAAAGTAGAACAGAGCGAACTGATGCGCAGTATACTCGTCCTTTAATTGATAGACGGATATCTCGTCTTCGCCATAGGTGACGTAAGTTGGCAAAAGCTAAACGAGCTTTTCGAATCCGTGCTGAGATTTCGTCAGACACCAACCCATTAGAACTGATCAGACTTCCAAGATAAGTGAAGTTGTCCACGCGTTCGACTACTTCACTCCCTATCCTTAGTTCGGGTGTTGACGTAGGCCAGTCCTGGAGTAACAATTAACATTTGGATGGGGAGAAACACATCCCAAACATCCTGGCATTATTACTGAGTTCCAACAGAAGACTCTGCATTTTGTCAGCGTCTTCACCAAACAGGACTATGTCATCTGCGTATTTATTATTTATTTAAAGACCTCTGGAGCCAATCCATCTGTACCAGCTGCTCTTCCTCGTTTCAGATTATCTATAGCCTTTTGAACTTCAAGTAGGGTCGGGGGGCCTACTTCAATGTTCCATTCAGGTTTTCTAGGAATAGTGGGTAGCTGAAGGCCAGCTAAACTGCTCCTTAAAGTGTTCCGCCCATCGTTCTAAACGTTTGGGTTGAGAGCAGATAAGTGTTCCGTCTTTTTCCGAGATTGTCTCACTCACACTTGACTTCTTAATTCCGGTTTCTTTTATTAGTCTGAATAGTTGCCTGGTGTTGCCTACAGTCGCTGCCTTTTCCATCTCTTTTGCTTTCGTTGCCCACCACTGCTCACGATTGTTCCTTAGACTTTTAGTTAACCTAGATCTAATTTCTTTACGCTCTTCGTCATGTTCAGAGCCTGATGGGATGAGTTTACGCGAATCCATCAGTGAAATAGACTTAGAAGAAATCCATTGGTTTGTTGGAGCCCTATGGTTTAAATGTTACTGCTGTTTCCACAGCTATTCGTATATCTTTCCAAGCAGCATCTGTGTCAGTCTTGTTTACAGAACTGCCTAGATGTGAGCTCAGTTGTTTCTGGAATTCGCATTTGGATTTCTCGTCCTCCAGTTCAATCCTAATTGGTCTTCTTAGTGTACTTTTCCTGCGTCCATTGAGGCGCAGACAAATGCGCGCTCGTATTAAAGCGTGATCAGAGTCTAAACAAGTATTCCAATACGAGCGACAATCTTCTATTGAGTCTCTCCAACGATGACTGATGACAATATGGTCTATTTGAGTCCATCGTTGGTTTGGTGCAGGTGGTCGCCATGTTAGACGATGTCTCTCCTTATATTTAAAATTAGTGCTTGCTAAAAATAAACGATTGTCTGAGCATAGTTGCAACAGACGATCACCATTATCGGTTCGTTGAGCCGGAATACTAAAACACCCACCTAAATGTCTTTGTTTGATGTAAGCTGTCTACCTGGGCATTAAAGTTACCCGCTACGACTACTATGTCTGAGCGCTTAGCTTTCTGAAGAAGCTCAGAGAGTTTTCTGTAAAAGTCATCTTTCACTTCATCATGGCTGCATTCAGTGGGAGCGTAGGCAGAAACAACGAAAAGGCAACGACGTGTGTCCCTATCCTTCCGAGTTCTTACGGAGCCATTTAGCCGGACAGCACACAGGCGACTGTTAACGGGGATCCATTCTAGTAGTGCCTGTTCTGCCCTTATACTTAGTGCTATGCCTACACCTGCAAGTCCGCGAGAACTAGCCAACGGGTCGCCAGATACACGGAGGGTGTATTTCTTTAGCTGTCCATTTTGGAGAGGTAAGGTCAAGTGAATGACCACACTGGGATCCTGTATGCGTGTTTCGGAGACACAGCATACATCAATGGTACGAGATTCTAGGGTTTTAGCTAAGGAGGCCTGTTGACCGATTTGGCATAGGGTACGTACGTTGAAGGTTCCAATGTGTAGTTTGGAACGAGGTTTTAGTAGACCTGTAACAGCGTTTCGCGCACTAGAATCGTTGGCCATGGTGACACTTGAGGAGGAAACCGAGAGAGGAAGTTTAGTGTTGAAAGTCAAGGTAGAAGGAATAGTAGGAATTGAAGAAGGAGATTGATTATGAATACAGTGGTCTTGAGCGCTGTCAGAGGTACGAGGGCAGTTATCACTTCCCGGTTGCCCATACCGTGGAAGGGTTCTTCTAGAGGTACCTGAAAAGGGAATTGGGTTAGAAGTGGTCTTAATGACCTGAGAGCGTGACCGTAGTGCCCAAGGGACAACTGCTTGAGGTCGGTCACACACGACCTTTTCGTGGGTAGTTTTTGTGTTAGCTCCGTTCTTCAAAAAAACCTTACCCCCGGAGACGGAAATCCGTGGGATAAGGCGAGGTGTGCATTTTAGGGTCGACCTTTTCTAACCCCACCCCTCCTTGTGGGAAGGCAGCATCGCTGTCATGCTGTTTGTCTGAAGGAAACACCTTACTGCCGTCACACCTCTGTACAGTCGGCAGTACGACTTCGCCTTCGGACCTTTGGTTTGCTGCTTTTAGTCTCACCGCTCCTCAACCGACCTGTCTGGCATGGTAGGACCTCGAGGAACGATTGTTCCAGCCAGCATAGCTCGATTGCTTCATCACGATAAGCAAGCCCGACCACCACGTCAAGGTAGCAGCAACGGTCGGGATCTGTTTTACTATGTATAATCGTAATTATATAACTTAAGAATTAACATGATTCTATAAAACTAATTAAAAGACAACAGCAAATTGTAGATATGAAATCACACTTTGCACATAATTAGTTCATTCGCGGCACAAAACCCGTACACTTGTTTGATGACTTAAGGATAAATCTTGCAATTTAGGGCAGTATGAAAATACTGTAAACTAAATATTTAATTAATACACTCAGTACATACATATGTATATATGGGGTTGTGGAGATTGTTGAGTTTTAACTGATGTTGTGAACCGATCAATGTTAGACCACCATTGAAAACCGTATGCGAGACCTAAGGTGCTGAGTTCCAGTCACGCGTACGAGATCGTGGATATGCACTGATGTAAAGTCCTATAGTGGGACAAAAAGGCTGTCTAGTGTTTCCAGGTTTTCAATGGTGGCCTAACATTCATCATTTTGTGATCTCAATTAAATATATAACTATTAATCCACTATGGAATAGTTTTTGAAATGTCATTCTTTTTTTCATTCATTTACTTATATCTAGCAAAGCACAACTAAATTATTCAGTTTTCCAAGTTTCATAACATGGCTCAATACAGGAACTCAAATATTGGGCCTTGAATTATCTGCTCTTTCGATACTTCGTATAGTTGTATATACATATATCTCTTAAAATGACTATACAATATCTCTATTTTCCTCCGTTTGTTCATCTTGTTAACGGATAAACAGAAAATATCATTGTTACGCAATGATTTACCGATCCTGACCTGTTTATTTAGACCATGTTACGAATAATTTCTGGTCGTCGGTTTATAATCTTATTTTGTTAACCTTTTATAATTCCATATAACTCTTTATCATAAGTCTATTTACTGGGAAACCACCGTGATTCATATATTTCCTACTTCATCCATTCTTTTAGAGAAATATTTATTTATTTATTGATTCAAACACATAAATATTGGTACAAACGGGCACCAAATATATATACGCCGCAAAAATCTTATTTGTTTTGTGTGAGGGCTGTGATACTGTCCAGGTGCCCAAACTGAAGCAGGTGGTTTTCTCAGTGGACCACACCCGGAGCCTTTGACCTAAAGGTCTGATCCACAAGACAATGGAGCATCGTGAGTAGATGCAGCCCCATGGTAGCCGGTGACCAACGATTGGTTCGTACGCCATTTGTCCCCTCAGGATACTGGAGCTCATGTGCACGATTGGTTTGGAATTGTGGTTTTCCAACTCCCCTAGATGGACCCTCCGTGTCCACCAACCCGGTTAGATCGCCGGATATTCGCTTTTCATCCTCTCAATTTCTCAAACAACAGTAATGACACGAGAAGGCATTGAGTAGGATTTCCATGGCAGAGGCTATATATTCGCGTGGCCATGTGAGAGCATTTCGAGAGGGAGAGCGAACTCTCCTTACTCTCGGCCATACCAGGGCATTTGAGGACTATACAATGTTTATATTAAATATATTTACCAATAAAATAATATATCACAATGACATACAGATTACTTTGAATATTCACAAATTTTGAAATTTCGCCTTGATTTATACTGAGAATTATTTAGTGTATTCGAACAACTTATGGTATTGAATAAATTGGGGGTGTATTATATTCACTAACGTTTGGTTTTTATTTATTTATTTAATTATGGTTATTTTCCTAAACGATTCAATCTCAATTAATTTTAGCTCATTATTCTTATGATCAAACACCATCATTACAGTTTGAAATAGTTGATTTAAAAAGACTGGAAAATTCAACACATCAGTCGAACAATGTACAAGAAATTTCTTGTGAAAATTCTAAACCATCCAATCTGAAGGTGGATCAATTAGAAGAATCTCGTTCAGAATATGAAATGGTGGAAGATCAATTATTCGTAAGTTGTATTTCAAATATGAGTCTATGATTCAATCTTCTCTGTTATGTACACACAACAATTAAGGCGATCTATAATGTTTAGTGTTGGAGATAGATGGAAGAAAGTTGGGGGCGGCCAAACCAAAACATGGCATTAGTCCATAACGTCACCTACTCCTGGTCTGAGCCATGTTGGTAGATGCAAACTAATTGATTAGGGTTCGCGCAACTATCGTAACCAATGACTGGAGACTCTGAATAATATGGCTCCAGATCAATCACAGTGGTGTAGGTGTATACACTCTTTGTTTTCCCTTAAACTGAGAGATTAAAACTACCTTATACCTATCTTTCCACGAACTCGTTCTTTCTCCCTGTATCATATCTTTATATGAAATATTTTCTTTTACTACCATTGAAGTAACTGCTTCTATGAATTTGGTATTCATCTTGTTATACAAATCAGGTATGACATCTTGGACCGATGCATATATGTACCTGGTACTATGTTGTAGTTGACTGACTGGTAATGTTTTTAACATTCATCGAGTATACTGGATCCATCAATATTGACCATCTTTCGATGAATAAACACAGAATTTTAGAATTTAATTTTCACCAGTGATTTCATTTTTCTAGTCTCAACCTTTTATTAAATTTTTATTTTCCATCCTGATTATTATACTGTACAACGTTTTAATGTTCACAGAAGACAATTTTAGATACCTTCAGATGATTGCGATGATATTTGTGTTAGAAAAGTATAATCGAACATGGAGTATTAGCCATAAGCCCACCCTGATTGAATGAAACAATAACTGAAATTGCCAGATACAACACATTTGTTGAATATTGAGGAAGTGTTGCAGATAATAACAGCCTTCATTATGAGTTGGACAGTGTAAAGACCAAATGAATACATACTATCAGTGTTTCCAATATTTTTGATAGCTTTTTGTTAGTCACTAACTATACATACATATTTTGCTATAAATTTACATGACAAGCTTTAAATCGTTGCGAACTAACACTGATACCGAATCATATAAATCAGTTTTAGTTCTATTGACCTTTGTTTACTACTGAATAATTCATATTAGTAATTCTTAATCACCAATGTACATTGTCACATATGTAAATGTGACTGCTTGTATATATATCTAAGTACTCTATCGAGTCAGTTCTATTGGAGGAAAGGAGTTTACACACTCATACTTCATTTTCAATTCGCTTTAGCATGAAGTCGTCATGACACTGTGCAGTTGTCTAATTATGTATATAACTCCATACTTTTACACACGTTTATAATTATAAGTTTATTATCGATCAAGAGCTAAGTAGTTGATCACTTCGATCACCTCACTTGTCTTGGAAGGTTGGTCAGCTCTGGTGTGTCGGTCCCTGATAGAATCTCATTATCAGTAGAGAAAACTCATTTGGATTTTTCCAGATAGTGTCACTTTGTAGTGTTAGTTAACACGTTAATTCCATCTACCTTTATTTTACCTTACGGACAAGCCAATTTACCTACCTATCATGAGTCACATTTCAACCTTGTTAATTATTCACTTATTAACACTGACTGTTTTTATATGAGCGCATGTGTGTACACTTTTTTCTTATTCATCACATGTCTGTAATTTATTCTCGTCTGGTTATAAATATTGATTGACGCTTGATAAAAGCGAGTTGACTTACCCGCCATCTCCAATGTGCGTTGTTTTCGCTTTGCTCGCTGGCATTTGCTCATGTGCTTGTAGCTTTCTGGCCTGCGTCATTTGATAATAAAATGTAGTTGCCGCTTCTCTTCGCCTTCTGATTTCATGCACCATTGAGATTTGTATTATAACGGTTATCGAGGTGAACGATTAACGAAGCACGGCACTACAGAATTGGTGACCTCATCGAGCGAACCGGTCACGACAAACCTAACGCAGGAGGCTACGTCAATGAAGAAACTTCGGCACCTCAAGCAAACTCAGCGAAGCCTGTGCAGCACGACATGGACATACTCGAATCGTATTATCTTATCAATACTTTGTCATCATGTCAACTCTGCTCATCGATCCATCTGGCGGATTTTTTTCCATTATGATTCGAATAATTATCATATGTTTATTATTACATTAATGTCATATCATCACATAACGTGGAATTATTATTGCTGTTCGTATTGACAGTAAATTATGACGTTTACATAGTCAAATCACTCACTGAACAAATTATAATTATATGAACATTCCATTCACGTTATGACATTCGAAACTCACTGGACTATTTTATTATTCAATAACGTAAGATTTTCCTGCTTTAAGTGAATTCGTTCCACTTTTTTCCCATGTCAATTTTTGGCCCAATGTTATACTCGCCTCGATAACCGTTATAATACAAATCTCAATGGTGCATGAAATCAGAAGGCGAAGAGAAGCGGCAACTACATTTTATTATCAAATGACGCAGGCCAGAAAGCTACAAGCACATGAGCAAATGCCAGCGAGCAAAGCGAAAACAACGCACACGTATACTTTACTTTGTATAACCATTTTTCACACCCATATGTATGCCTAAAAGTAATTCATCTTTGAGTGTACTATTTAACTTTCAGTTTAGTGATAATAATTTGCAATCTATCGAAGTGAATTTTTCCATGGAATATTTACGTAATCAATGGAAACAGATTTTATATTCAATACCAATATCAAATAATGATAATAATCATTACAATATATCAAATACTACTGATATTGATGATAATCATATTGAAGAGAAGATCATATTTGGTAAATTTACATCTATGGAAAATCAAGAAGCTGAATATGAATTAACTACATATTTCAAGTAATTCATTAATTTGTCTGTTTGTATGTATGTATATTTGTTTGTTTCTTTCTTCAGTTGCAAATGATCTAATATTGAAAGTTTGCATTAGTCACAACGATTTTAAAATAAGCTTAAGAAAGTAAAACTAATTTTCAGCTAATCTGAATACAGATGACATAAATACATAATTTCTAACAGTATATTTGCATCGATACCTGAACTAATTATAGGGAGTGATGTAGTTGAACGTGTTGACCGCTTCAATTATCTTGGGAGTCTCATCAGCCCTTGTGGTTTGGTGTGTGACGAAATCTCAACTCGGATATAGAAGGTTCGTCTACTTTTCACCAACTTGCGTCATTTATGGCGTAGGCGAGATATCCATCTAGCAATCAAAAAACAGGTTTGCTGCGCAGCAGCAGTTCGTTTCGTCCTACTTTGTGGCAGTGAAACCTAGCCGGTAAGATTAGAGGATATTCGTAGGCTACTAGTATTCGATCATAGGTGTCTTCGACGCATTGCTCGTATAACCTGGGACCACCGAGTAGGAAACGGGTACTAGGTAAGGATGGAAAATCGGTTGATGAAGTAGTGAAACTTCATCAGTTGAGATGACTGGGACACATGTTACGTATGCCCAACCACCGACTGCCCCGACGTGCAATGTTTCATGGTGTAGGAGTAGGTTGGAAGAAAGCTAGGGGTGGCCAGACCAAAACGTGGCACAAATCCATGAAGTCACTAACAAGTGGACTGGGCCGTGTTGGTAGGTGTAGACTACCTGGTTGGGATTCGCATGATGACAGCAACCGATGGTTAGAGACCTTGAATGACATGGCTCAAAATCGTTTGCAATGGCGAAGGTGCATCCACTCTTTGTGTTCTGTCAAATCCTAATCTTCTTAATTCTTCATCTCTCTATCCTTTCTCTCTTTCCAAATTTATTTCACTGTACTATACTCCTTCAATAATTTCTTCAAACCCTAATCTTTTGGATTTCTGATTGTACTCTTACTACTTCTACCACTATGGTATTTGTATCGACAACTTCATCTCTGTCCTAATGTAGTATGGCAACTCGAACTGATGTACGTAAGTACGAAGTTCCACGTTGTGTTTGACTAACTCACGAAATATGTCGAAAAACATTAGGCTTACGATTAAGAGTTTTGTTTAGAACATAAGTTTTGATTTAGGACTTAGACTTCAAAACTTTGATTATGAGATAGGAATAATAATAAGGAATCTGTTAAGAGGATGTTTTGTTATCTCCTATGAATATAAAGTGATGTAGGCAGTTAGTTCTTTAACTTCAAATATTAAAAGTATCTACATTACCTTCAAAAATTTACAAACTCTTTATCTACACATTTTGTATTTCGTTCAAAAGTTTAAAAATCATTAAATAGTTAAACCTGATTGGTTCTTTAGTAATGTGTACTTTTATTCTTAATATCAGAAAGGGGTTTTATGGAGATTGTAGTAATTTAATAGTTGAGTTCATGAGTCAATCCACCAACATGGAAAACCTGGAAGCACTGGACGGCCAGCTCAGTGGTCTAGAGTTTAAGTGCTCGCGCGCGACACCAAAGGTTCTGGGTTCGAATTCCACGAGCGGGATCGTGGATGTGCACTACTGAGGAGTCTCGTACTAGAACGAAACGGCCGTCCAGTGTTTCCAGGTTTTTTTATGGTGGTCTAGCTTTAATTGACTTATGAACTTAACTATTTTATTTTTAAGTCTTAAAACTTGTAATTGCATGATAGTTGTTATATTCAACAACTCTGTGCTTATTAAAACAACACTTCAAATCCGGTTCAATGGATTTTGTAAAATAAAACTAGAGTCTTTAATAACATTGCAAGCTGAATGCATAGTCGTTGATCTGTTTTACTTTCCTTTAGCCTATTCACAGTCTAATTGGTTTCTGATTAACTTAATTCGAGACTGTTGACTGTACATTATGATTCTAGCAAAACATTTAGGGAAGAAAAATTGTGCATAGAATTATGCGCTAGATCAATCTCCTTAATCATTACACTTAGCCCTGCATGATCTTTTCTAGTTATTAAGTTCCAAAATAGTCACGGGCTGGCAACATTGTGGCAATATGGAGATAATTAGACGTTATTTTATTTTATTTAAACACATATATATTGGTACAAAAGGGCACCAGGTACATATGCGCCACACAAAATAATGAAAGTAGGAAGAGAAGGGATGAAAAGATAAGGCAGGCTGAAATGTACAACCAGAATATTCTTTCAGTTAGGAAAGTTAGAACCATTCTTTATGTAGAAAGTAAAATAAGGTTGCAGCAGGATCGCCACTGGCTTCTATTCTGAGCCATATCTGATAACGTCTCTAGCCACTGTGTTGCACTATCTCTCGGACCCCAACCAGGGAGTCGTGAAGGACCAACAAAAGCTAGCCCTTTGCAGCTCTCTTTCATGCCACGACACCATGTCATACACTGACCTCCTCTCCGCTTTTTCCAACCAGTCCCAGGGTCGGCAAATAATGCACAACGTGGAAGTCTCTGGGACGACATTCGTAAAACATGTCCAAGCCACCGAAGTCGGTGTTTCAAGATGGTGACACCAATTGAATTATCGTCTTGGCGCCCGAACACACGATGCCGAACCTCAACAAATTTCGGAATAATGTAATAAGAATAATTATGATGTACCGTTGTAGTGAACAAAAACAAGAGTGGGGACAATCGAATGTATTTTAGTACAGTATTACAGAATATCACTAAAATATAAGAACCGTATAGTGAACAGTTAATTTGCAAATTAACAATCATTTGTTTCAATTTGATTGTTTCTTCTGCAACTATTCGTCCATAGTCCCCGATTATAATTCATGCATTTTCGTACCGATTGTGTGCCATACCCGTTCTCTTCTTATCGACCTTCTACTGAAATACATTCAATGCCCGACCATCACCATATACTACTTATGTGGATATCAATAACCCACACTATACCCTGAATTTCGTACAATCAAGTTATTAGTGATCAAAATTAGTAAATTTAGTTGATAGAACATGGATTTGTATATTTATCATTACATTCATATCTATTTAAATCATTATTATTATTATTATTTTTCCATTAAAGGAAAGAAACTTTCAACAGTTTAAAAGTAATTGGACAATTTAATTTGGGATTTATAATAGCACAACATAATCAAGATTTATTTATCATTGATCAACATGCTAGTGATGAAAAATATCGATTTGAACAATTATCAGAAAATTATCGATTTAAAAGTCAACCATTAGTTGTGTAAGCATTCATTTAAAACATTTTTTTTTCTTCAGATTATTATTATTATACATTTTTTTATTTTGTAACCCAATAAAGTATATTGAAATTGATGTTCTTTTTAAGTTAGTTCCAAACTATCCTCTGTCAAAGACCCTAGAGACAGGGAGTTTATGTGTATCGATAGCAAAACTTATCAGTTATTTGTAGGCGTTTGATCTACACACATTTTATCGATAGCTTTCGATCGGCACTAAGAAGGACTTGACACGCATGACATTAATCACCACCCAGTGATCAATCAATTGTGATTACATCTTAGTCCTACAGGAGGTCGGTCGCGGCCCGATTAGCTCAGTGGTAACGTCTCTGACTTTGAAGCTGAGTGACGCGGGATCGAATCCATCAGAGAGCACCAGTTCCCTGAAGATTATAGGTACACCTTGCTGACGAGTGCCAAGTAGCACGAAACCCGGGTCAAGGGTTTCCTGTTGACCATTTCCAACCACCATCTTATCACACATTTTAAATAAGTTAGAAGTGTCATTTAACATAATAGTTGGAAAAATATACAGAATGAATACAAGTGTGTAACTACTACTTATTTTGAGTGTTGTAGGCTCATGGTAGCTTAGCTTTAAACAACCACTTACATGTTCAACCTGCACTCCCGCCTACTTTGGTTTGCCGGTTAGTCTTAAACGGAATAATGACCTGACACAAGTTTGAATCAGTCCCAGTTGTCATACTGCATCACCAAATTGGTTTAGGTAAGTGAGTAATAAAACTAGACCTCATTAAAGCAGTATGGTTTAAAGCTTTGTACAATAACCTGTGTTTTATGAGTGATATTCTCATGAAATTAATTTGTCGAAAGGGGTTCGAACTTACATTCTATTGACTTACTGCTAACTGTTTTAAACCATAAGCTATAATTCCACATATTCAAAGTTGTCGGTCTCAACTTTTCATCAACCAATAATATAAGAATATTTTTCCGTCAGTTATATTTTCTTCCTGTTATGCTACTTACAGGCCTCAAAAGTTGAATTTAACAATAACAAATGAACAAGTGTTAATCAATAATTTGGATGTATTCGCTAGGAACGGTTTCGCTTTTCGTATTCACAATGACGGTGTGTTTTCAGATATTTCTATACTTCTGTATGTTTTTTATAATTATGATGGGAAAGTGTATCAGATCAATAATATCTGTCAGATATAATTGACAAGGTTGGTCTTGACTAAAATACATGACACACTGGTTGCTCACTACTCAGTAACCAACCAATTTATAAATATCTCAGTATTTTAGGAAATCAGTTTTGATGCGAATGGCGCAGTAATAATGCCTCAGACTATGCAACTGACTAATGAGGTGAGTCCAGATCTCACAGTGAATAGTAGTTCCTCCAATACTGCAAGTATGCCGTTCTACTAAGTATGAACTAGCATGTAACCTATATCATGCAGAGTTTAATGTCGACCAATGACAACTACCTAGCATGCTTCATATCTTTTTGTAACAATCAATTACGTAAGTTGCTCAGGTGAACAAAATGATAACAAGGTAATCAGAATAAAAATATCAATGACAATGTAGAAAACTAGATTCAGGAAATCTGTTTCAAAAAGTGACACATTAAATCAAGCCATAGATTATAAGGTTCCATAGTGAAACTTATATGTAATAAAAAATAAGAACACTACAGTTCTCTACTATTTTGACTGATTTTCAACTGTCTTATCATAATGAACATCAGTTCATAGTATAATATCCAATAATGATCCATAATTATCAAATGATACTGTAGTGAATGAAAAATCAGGTAGGGAAAACCAATTTATTATTTAATACAATATTACAGAGGGTTTTCACAGAATATGAAAACTATACATTGAATACATTATTTGAACATCTTCCATCAGTTGTTCTTTACATGTTTTATAATTCTTTCAATTCTCTTGTTATTACAATTACTTTCTCTTCTCTCCAATTGAATCTTCTCAATCTTCTTCTGGCATGTATTCCACTTTCAGTTTGTGCTACATACTACTTATATCTTTCAACATAAGTAGCATACATTACAATAATACTGAACAAAACACTTGTTATATAATGTTTCATAGGACTTTATTCATTATCTATAGTGTGAACTGTTTTCAAAAGTTTCACTTGTTTATGGTAATTTCCCAAAATATCCTAATTATCTCTTCATTTACATCTATTGAATATTCATATATATATTTTTAGAACCTGCTGGTCAACAAATATCTCTTGTTGCTGCACCAATGCTAGAAAATAAATTATTCAGTTACAGAGGTAGGTAAATGTTATACTTGTTATATTTGTTTTGTTCTTTTTGACGATATTTTGTACATTGTTTTCAATGCTCCTTGTACCATTAGGTTTTGGAATATATTTCATATTAGAAGTGGTTTTGTGGAGATTTAGTATTTTAATAGTTGAAAGCGTGAACCTCACTGAAGACAATTGGTGAACGGTTGCTCAACTTCGTGGATTGGTTGGAGTTAGACATAAACACCATCCGATGCCGGCCGGCTCAGTGGTCTATCAGTTAAGTGCTCCGGTGCGAGACTGGTAGGTCCTGGGTTCGAATCTCGCGAGGCGAGGTCGTGGATGCGCACTGCTAAGAAGTCCCAAAATAGGACGAAACGGTCGTTCAGTGTTTTCAGGTTTTTCCTGATGGTCTAGCTTCCATTGACTCACGCTTTCAACTATTCAAATATATGTCATAATCAAGAGATAGAGAGATAAACAGAGAGAGTTATCTTGAAGGATATCAAAATAAGCTCTTGATTCTTTGAATTAATTAATTCAGATTCTTTTTCAATAGTTCAGTTCGTTTATTTTTTTAATGAATATAACGAATATTGTTATAAACGGCAAGATAATTGTTATAACTCTTGAGTTTCTTGTTATAACAGTCCTTTCACGTTTTACACGTATGTGGGACGTTAATTTACCTTAGACGAATATCTACACTAGATTTCCACCCAGTGTCTATCCTACAGGACTTGAACACAGCTCAGATCAAGAACACGTGATTCGCCTAACTAGAACGTCAATATTTTTCCACACCAAAATCCGACACAATCCAACAACAAGGAACAGTCAATCAATAACAGTTCGGATAGGGGAATACATATAACACCTGTCACACTATCTGTATGTCTGATTCAGCAAAACAACCAATCACTATCATTCTCGTCCACACATCAAATATGAATCAAGAAATTTACAGAGTTTGTTCCAAATTTTATGAAATTACTCACAATTCTCTAACTATTATGAAAAAAGAACAGACACACTTTATCAGATATTTTTTCCCATATATGCTTGATGTTGGTACGGTTCACATTTTTTCTCGACAACCACTGCCTACCTCAATCCACAGTGTTTGCTGGGTAGCCGGATAAAGTCGTAAAATCTGTCCATCAATTCATTGACTGTTGATCTGAATCATGTAGGTGGGCCCAGACTACCTGGCTGGGGTATACCAATTTTTGTGGGTAATGGTTAGAGATTATATGGCCTGGATTAGGATGGATCGCAATATGCAGATCCATTGATTACAAATATATTATTCCTATTTAATGTCTTACTTCAACTCGGCGCTCAAATACTGTGAAACTATTCGTTCTAATTTAGACGAGAGTTCTTATAGATCCATTGATTGTTTATCGTCCCTTAGGTTTTGAGTTTTAAAATCATTTCATACTTTTCAATCAGTGAATCAATTCTTTCTTCTGGATTCATATTGTTTATGTCTAATGTTTCTTACTACCAATGGTATAATTGATACGTATAGTATTATGTCATTACTTTTTCTGTTCTATTATGGTGTCGGAAATTGAACCGATGTACATTTGTTCCAGCTTCACTTTGCTCGTGACTGACTAAATCAACAGGATTCGTTGAACCTAGTGTTTGCACTAGTTGATAATTCCCATAAACAATTAGAATACAGTAAAGCACAGTCGAATTAAACATTAACAAACAATCTAGAGAAGAGTTCTTTGGGACGGAACAAATGTATAAAAGGTGTATTCAGTTAAGGTACTCTATTGGAAGAATACTTATGTAAAATTGAAAATAATTAAATCGAAAAAATAGCAACTATTACAAGTTTGTTCCTGATGTTAGGTTTGTGTATATTTGATCACTTTCAAGTGATGAATACTATTAGTAATCTCCATTTCACACTGTTTCCTTATTTTTCTATTTAACAGATATTGAAGAAATGTTGTTTGTATTATCTGAAACATGTGTAAGTGTTGTTTGTCTTATTTTAAAACTTTCCTGCCGTTCTTTTCATTCCAAGATATTAACCGTTCGATGTCATCTATTTGTCAACTACGAAAAATTAATAAGTTGCATTATCATAAAGAATGAATTGCATTATGAGTTGATATATTAGAAAACTCTATGTAGTTCTTCATTAACTATCGAGGTTTTTAATTAAAATCCTATTTGGTATTTTAAGAAATAGAATTTTAATATTTGAGTTCATGAAGAATCGATCTAAGCTAAATCACCACTAAAAACCTGGAATCCCTGGACGGCCGTTTCATCCTAGTATAGGACTCCTCAGCAGTGCGAGCCTGCTATCTTGCACACAGGACTCAAAGCCAGGACCTTCAGTCTCGCGCGCGAACGCCTAAACTCCAGACTATTGAGTCGGGATCCAACGGTGTTAATGTTTAACTTCAATCAATTCATGATGTTGTACATCTCTTCATCTATTGTCTGAGGTGAAAAACTGCCCGACACCCTACACGGATTAAACACCACTGGTCACGACTTCCTACTAGGTCTCCAGGAAATCCATCTTGAAGCAAGTCCCTAGTGAGCACATTCTATACTGATTTCATTGTTTAGAAATCTCCATAGAATGTTCGAAAACAAAGAATATTTGAACGAACAATTGTTTCCAATAACTTCATCATCAAATTCTACAGTTGAGTCCGTAATTATTGTGATATTTTACATAGGTCATTTAATAAAGGTTAGAATGATTTCTAGTCAAGTGTCTAGTTATAATCAATATGATAGTAATTCAGTAAATCGTGTGAATAAAATGGATAGTAGGAGGATCATACCTCGTTAATGAAGGCAATAATAATAATTGCAATAGTAATAATAACGTTGTGTGAATATGTGTTATCAAGGTAATTTCCATAAAAAAATCATGTGAACTGGGTAAGATGCGTAGATAAAGAAAGATGTAAAGCGAAAACAAATTGGGGGGAGAGATTAGAGATTTATAATATCCAGTTTAGTATCTGATGATCCAGTCGTGGACCAAGGTAAACATAAAGGCTAGATTTACCTCTTCTGGATACAAAAGTTCGGTTTTTAGAGTTTATCCAGATGGCTTCAGCTGTGTAGAGGATCCGTAATCAAGCCCATTTAGGTGGATTGTTTGGAACTTGTTACAAAACAGAGAAGGCTTAATCTACTTTAATATGATGTTCACTATCTATCAAATGAAAAAGAATCACGCTGTTAGTCTAATCCACAAGGCAGTGGATCAACGTAAGGAGATACAGTTCCGTGATAGCTAGTTACCAAAAATAGGTTCATACACCTTTTCTTCCCTCAGGATCCTGGGGCCCATATCCAACATTAGTTTGGAATCAGGATTTTCTAAATCCCCTAGGTGGATCATACATATCCACCAACCTGTTTAAGGCATCGGATATTCGCTTTTCGTCCTCTCAATTTCGTAAACAACACGCCACCACGAGAAGACAGTGAGTAGGATTTCACTGACAGTGATTGTATACGCATGCCCATGTAAGGACATTTTGAGAGGAATGGCAAACTCTCTACACCCTCGGCCGTACCAGGGCCTTTTGGGCCCACCTTCATATCCTCCTCAAATCGAGTTTTCGATAGATAGTTTTCTTTCTGACCATGTCAGAGTTTGTTCTTTTTTACTTCCCAACAAAAATTTTCTGACGAAATTATCTGGATAGCCGTTATTTCGTAATGTGTTCTTTAGTTTGTCTATTCCGTTGTCTACACTAACCTCAGAATATAATAGTTTGATTCTGTGAGACATCTAACCAATTTTATTTTGCATTGAAGGGGTGTAAAGCTATCAAAATGGGTATACTGACTCGTTCAAGTATTCTTTCTAAATATATTTCTCATTACAGAACCATCTATTCTCATATAACATTGTCAAATTCGTTGAAGTATGCCTTATTTTGGCCTTCGTAAAAAATCACAATAATTATGGACTCATAAGTGTAGAGCCCGATGATGAAATTATTGAAAATAATTTTTCGCTCAAATATTCTTTGTTTTCGATTTCATTGTGTTGATTGTTCGCATTTTCGGTCAATAAATTGTTGTTTCGATGCATATCTGATTCCGAACAGTCTATTGGATTCTAAATATCTCAGTCCACCTAATCTAGTGTTCCAGAGACTGGATCAAGTGCAAACCAAATTTCATTCTATTATATTAGTAGAAACACTTTTGATCTTTTATTTAGAATGTTGGTTTCACTTTCCTATCGAAACTTCTGTCCAGTGTATTCACCCTTTACTAGGCAGACAGATATATTTGATCTATTAAATCGATATCATGAGATAACTGCAGTCAGATAATTCTCGAACTTGGAGACAAGTCATATTCATCTTTAATATAGTGTTTGTAAAATATCCCAGCTCTGATTGTAATAACTTCATCGCTTTTACTTCGGCTTTAGCTTGACTAATTTCAGCGATCCACGTAAATTTTACTGGACACATTGTTTAATTAGAAATCGAGTAACTTCCAAATACTTATAAGATATGCATCTGTGTGTATATCATCTAATTACTCTGTGGACTAATTTCTTGGAAAATATCAAAAGGATATCTTTCTGTATAACAACAGTGAATCTTTTTTTCTTGATTGTGGGTGTCATTGTGAATATTTACCAACTTTCGCTGTTTTTTCATTCGACTTCCATTCTGTTTTCTTACTTTTTTCAGAATAAGAAATGTCGACCATCCCGTTTGAGAGATATACTTGCTTCACGATCATGTCGTAGTGCTGTTATGATTGGAACAGCATTAGATCATAAAAAGATGAAACGAGTAAATAGAGTAGTATTGTTATTTCTATTATATATTCAAGTCATTAACTTCGTTGCATATTCTTCCGGTTTAGGACGTTGTCTTAACAGATGGTATAAAATAATTAGCGGGACGTCAGCTAGCTGAAACTAATCGAACCGATCTAAACCAAGTAAATTTGGACCAGCTGGCGCTACGTTACATACCCCGGTGAATGCTGATTATCGAAAAGATAACTCACAATCTGATTGTCCCAAAAATAACACATAACTATCACATGTTGTACGAGGCTTATGTGTTGTTAACCACATGCATGGGTTGCCTATTTTGATCCGAAATTTCCGAGAAATAATCTTAATGTTTGATGCTGTATCTATTTGCGATCTAAATGAATGCCTGCCCTCTTACTTACGCTTGTTACCCCTATTGAAGGAACATAGGCCGCCCACCAGCACTCTCCATCGAACTCTGTCCTGGACAATCCTTTTCAGCTGTTCCCAATTGCTATTCATCCTTTTCATGTCTGCTTGCAATTCCCAACGTAGTGTGTTCTTTGGTCTTCCTCTTTTCTTTTTCCCTTCCGGATTACAAGTTAGAGCTTGCCTCGTGATGCATTATGGTGATTTCCGTAATATATGTCCTATCCACTTCCAACATCTTTTCCTAATTCCCTCTTCAGGTGCTAGTTGGTTTGTTCTTTCCCACAGTGGGTTGTTGCTAATGGTATCCGGCCTATGGACATTGAGTATCTTACGTAGACACTCATATATACCTGTACTTTTTGATGATGGTTGTAGTAGTTCTCCAAATTTAAGCTCTAATGAATGTTATCCAGTGTTATGAACCCACCAATGATAGCAATGAAAAATTCTGAATACCCTCATTAAATATTATAGTGTTTCGACTGGTTTGTTTTCATAGATTATTTTAAGATCAGAATGTAATTAAAATGATAGTTAAGATTGCTTTGGCCAATTTATTCTAAAAGCCTTTACTTACGAATATGACTTCTAGCTATCTAATCTTGATTATTTTCGTGAATAAATGATAGTTCTAATGTGTAAGGAATTCGTCGTTCGTTTTTGTATCCAGTTTATTTTACTCTACTTACTTTTACTGTTATCTGATTGATTGTTCTCACCTTCAGTTTGTTATTTTCCCTGTTTCCCATAGTGTTATTTATTTCTTAATACAAACAGTTATTCTGTTACAGTCCTCACTTCTGTTACGAATACTAAAGCTCTCATGTAGTTCTTATGTTTTCTCACTCTTTTATTTATATGTGGATTATTAAGTTTGAAGTTTTTGTAGGAAATTAGTCGTTCGGTCTAACTAATGCGCGCAAAGATCTTGTTTCGTATTAGAAGGATATCTCGATTGTTCATGATTCTGAATTATAAAGTTACTGGGACATAATCTAAACTTAACTCATCAACCAAATTCAGATCTTCATACTAGACTTTTGGACCAAACCGTACCGTAAAGAATAATAATAGTATTGCCGGCCTCTTTAAACCAATATTAGATGGAACAGGGTTCAAACCTTCGATTTATTGTTTTAAAGCTACGTTTTTAAGCAATTATCCAACGCTTAACAAATTTATAACTATTAAATAAGACTAAATTCTTTGGAAATACCATCAGTACATATTAGCAAGGGATTACGAAGTTTAATTATGATCTCACAACTATTTATATAGAATCATAAACATCACTGATTACATGCATTAGAAAGTCTAAAGATTATTTTGATCGCTTCCACTTTTCGATATTCAAAGTTAAAGTCAATTGAATGAATACTGAATTTCTTTGATCTTCAATTCTATCAAACCTATCATTATATTTCAAATATTCAGTTATTTTTGTCTCAACTGATTAATTAATTTATTTATTTAAACACATAAATATTGGTACAAAGGGGCACCAGATACATATGCGCCACACAAATCTCATTTGATTTGTTTGAGGGCTATGATACTGCCCAGGTGCCCAAACCGAAGCCTTTGACCGGAAGGTCTGATCCACAAGGCAGTGGAGCATCGTGAGGAGATGCAGTACCATGGTAGCCGGTGACCAACGATTGGTTCATACGCCATTTGTTCCTTCAGGATACTGGAGCCCATATCCACCATTCGTTTGGAATCAGGGTTTTCCAACTCCCCTAGGTGAAATTTCCGTGTCCACCAACTCGGTTAAAGCGCCGGACATTTGCTTTTCGTCCTCTCAATTTCATAAACAACACCGCCACGAGAAGGCAGTGAGTAGGACTTCCCTGGCAGAGGCTATATGTTCGCTGGCCATGTGAGAGCATTTGTAGAATGAGGGCGAGTCCTCCCCACTTTCGGCCGTACCAGGGCATTTGAGGACCAACTGATTAATGTTGATAAGTAAACCATAAAAAAATAGATCATTTCGTTAAAGTCTTATTAAGTAGTATCGCATAAACTGTTATCAACTACATGTTTCATGTGTTAATTATTTAATCTTAATTTGAAGTATACTTAAGACTTACAAATTTCTTGGCATTCACATTATACTATTTAACAATTTGACTGTTGACTAATTATTAGTTCCATTAATTTAGATTCGTTGATTGACTAAAACATTTAAAATAATATGTTAACTATAATTGTTAGTGAGCAAGTCGTTTAATTAGTTGTTAATAAATCAATCAATTTGCTTCTATAGTTTTGTTTTCTTCTTTAAGTCATCAGCATAACAGTCTCATTCCAATGGAACTTGTAACATATAACAATTATTCTACATTTATAGTAAACAGTCGTATTAATAGCAGTAATCATTATCTTATTCATGTGATATTAGTCTTTTACTCATCATTACATCTATATCCATATTAATATCTGCAATTTCTCCCTAGATTTTTTCTAACTTAAACCTTATATATACCTTGTTTTTAGATCTTAACAAATATGGGCTCCATGGATCATCCATGGGTAAGTTTAAAATTCTATACATAATGTTTGAAGAATCATGAGTTTCCTCTAGGTGCATGACTTTGCTTGCTTATAGGTGGCAATAATCCTAAAAATCCACCCCATCCACTGACTTTTAACATCCAGTCATATGTGGTAATTTATTTATGTAACTGATTTCTTGCTAATCATGCATTTTAATAATCCTATCATTGAATTAAATAAAAATGTGAATCGAATCGTTCTTTCTCGCTCCCGCTAAGATCCCTGTGGACGCGTGGGTGTGTTTCCGGTTTGTTACGTCTTTATTTTGTTGGCTGGATATTCCATTAGTATATCTCCTGACAAGTTTTCTAACTCTTGATTAGCTAAAGTGTTTTTACAATCTTGTTTTTTATATGATTACTGTGTCTCGTCCATATGAATTTTTCCCACGCTCACTATATACATAACCGCTCCTTTTTACTATTCTGCTTACCCATCTTGGAAATTCCTCACCCAAACTACTTCACTTAGATGTAAATGTCTTGTTTTAACAATGCACTGTTCAGTGAACTAAGGCTTCTTTATTTTTATTTTCTTGGATCTTGGTATCAGATCCTGTAACACAATCCCAATTTCTCGGTCAAACATATTGTCTACTGTCGATAATCTCTTCACTGTTGCTGGATTTGGTGTTGAACGGCAACTTAGCAAGAGCCTTTGTATTATTTCTTCTATTGTCCCTTCTTCTTGAATAGTCTTTAAGAAATCAGCGAAACGCTCCGCCTGACCATTTGATTGAGGGTGGTGTGGAAGAGACCTGACATGACGGATACTGTTTTCTCTGCAGGATTTATCAAACTGGGTTGGAGTGAACTTTGTCGGCACCACATTTTCAACTTGTTACTTCGGTTTTTCCATTCTATAAAATGATTATTCAGTGTAATATTTTATTCGTTATAATATTAATTTATTTGAGGTGTGGCTCCCTAATAAAACCACCTGCTTCAGTTTGGGCACCTGGGCAGTATCACAGCCCTCACACAAATCAAATGAGATTTGTGTGGCGCACATGTATCTGGTGCTTCTTTGTACCAATATTTATGTGTTTAAATAAATAAATAAATAATTTATTTGAGTGTAATGTTTATTCAAGATACAACATTCTTTGCATTCAATTAATGTGGACTATACTTAGCATGACATGCAACATATGATTTGTTATAACTCGAGTTATTTTTTATATATGTGATTTTATTCTGATTAATTATCCAAATGGATAAACAGCCAGTTAGTCAGTCACAACGTAGAACTTCGTACGTACGTACATCAGTGTGAGTTGCCATACCACATTAGTACAAAGATGCAGTTGTCGATTCAAATCCCATAGTGGTAGAAGTAGTAAGAGTGTAAGCAGTATACATTAAGTGTATTTTCGACTAAGGTCGTTGTGTTTTGGATTTTATAAATCTTCACTAGTACCATTCTTGGTGTTGTTATTTCGCTTCGTAGGAATTGCAGTGACTGTTTGTTTTTAAAGTATAAATAGTTAGCGACACGAATACAACAACTGGCTATCAACTCGTTAGTGTCAATCTAATCCTCTAAAGTTAATTATATGCTCTATGTCTCCTAGACTAAACAGCTTGACAAAGATTTAACGCGTGTACATTACTGTTTTAATGAAAAATATAGTTGAATGGGTTATGTCATTAGTATTACAATACTAGCCAATGATCATGTAATACATTCAACTCAATTATCCAGTATTTTCAATAGAGAACTAGATTAAACAAGAACAATGGTCTATCGATATAAATACAAAGAAGTTAGTAAGTTGACAACAAATGAGATGTTTCTTACAATATTAGATAGATCAGAATAGGTTTTGTGGAGAATTTAGTATTTTCATAGTTGAAATCATGAGTTAATTGAAGCTAGACTCATGATCTCAACTATATAAAATTACTAAATTCTCCACAAAACCCTCTTCTGGTAATGAGCATATGCTCACCAGTGACTGGCTCCATGAGGTATTTGTGGAGTTCTAGTGAGACGCAGTAACCAGTGTAGTTCAACCAGGTCTGTTGGTAAACGGTTGCTCAAAATCGTGGATTGCTTAAAGTTAGACATTAACACCGTTGGATGTCGGCTCAGTAGTCTATCGGTTCATTGCTCTGGCGCGAGACTTGTAGGTCCTGGGTTCGAATCTCGCTCGTGGGGCGAGATCGTGAATGCGCACTTCTGAGAAGTCCCATAATGTGACGAAACGGCCATCCAGTGCTTCCACGTTTTCCATGGTGATCTAGCTTCAATTGGCACGTTATTTCAACTATGAGAATATTAGATAGTTTGTTTTTATTCATCATGTGGATGGATATGTCTATCCTTCAATTCTTTTTTTCTTTGGTGAATCAAAAGTCTTTATTTATGGTTGTTTTTTTTCAATTTTTTAGAATTGCCCACATGGACGTCCAACGATGCGACATTTATATCATTTAAACCCTTTAAATGAATAACAATCAATAATCATATTGTATCCTATAATTTTGCATTGTCCTTTTTTTCTTTTAAAGAGAATCTTTCTTTTTTTCTTTTACTGTTGTGTTTTAGTTACTAAGTAGATATTCTCTTATTTCCTTTTTTTTAAAAAAAGTTTCATTTTTAATCCAGATTTTTAAACTCTTATTTTTATAAGACCCTTTTTTATAAAAAAAAGAAAAAGAAATATATTCTTTTAGGTTTGTAAAGAGGAATCAGTTTTTATTTCGGCTTCTTCTTTTGTTCCAAATATATGATGAAAAAGTCAAAAAAGTACAGTTGACTAAATGACCGTGTTATAGATCTAAGATAATAAGATCAATAGGACTTTAAGAGCTTAAGGTTTCACCGGATCATAACATTTATTCACATGGTATTCTTGAGTCACTTAATCCACTAGTAATCATAATTCATATAAAGATCAGGATGAGAACTATTCTTTTGGTAGGTGATTAAACCTGAAAATGTCGGGTGATGAGTGTGATATTTAAAAGAAAGTCTATAATCAAGCTGAATGAACTTGTAGAAAATAAACATCACTAATAAACAACACTTGGACTTAGCGGTTCTGATGACAAATCACCATAAACTCTACCTAGACCAGTAGTGTTCGAGTATATGGTCATATTTTATATTACATGCGCTTTTCGAATGTATAATATACATTACACTAATCTTTATAAATAAGTGTAGCTCAGCTATATATACATATATATAGTCACTCGCTCGACTCACACGATACTGTTACAAGGAAAGCTAACAGTAAGAAACCAGTAGTTAACGTGCAGGATCTGACATCACAGTCGAAAGCCGTGAACACGACTTTTAAAGAAGTCCCTAGTGTAATCATTTGGAATCTAGAAGAGTCGAAAGACAACGATCCTGTTAAAAGACATGCACACGATTTACAGCTAGTGGGATCTGTCATCAGAACTGTACCGCTTGAAGAGGTTTCAAAGGTACATATCACGAAAGTAATCAGACTCGGTAAATATGTTGGAGGCGAGACCCAACAAAGAAGGATCTTAGAGTTAGCACTCCGTAATTTTGAGGAAAGAGACAATATTTAATAACGCACGCAAAATTCTTGATTCAAATATTCGTATTCGACCAGACTGGCTACTTGAGGATCGGATCATGTGGATGGATTCTCTTACTGAGTTTAAAACTCGAAAGCTAAACGGCAAAACGAACCTTACGATTAATGGTTTTCGGGTAGTCAGGTCTTGGAAGCCAATGCTTCCGAGACCTGTATGGGTAGAACGTATGTTTCCAAAAAACACCTTAAATGTGTGCTACACGAAAGCCTGTAGTCTTCGAAATAAAATGTCAGAACTAGGTTTGACGATAGACGAATTAAATCCCGATATGATTTTTGTCACGGAAACTTGGCTAACTGTAGATATAGACTGTTCTCCCATCATTCCAGACTACATCTGTATCAGAAGTGATAGAGTTATAAGTCGCAAGGGAGGAGGCATAACGTTAAGTGTTGGGACCACTTTCACATAAAATCGATCATATCGGAGGCGCATGTTAGTGAAACGTGTGAGGTAGTATGTTGCACAATTAGGTCTAGAAGCGGGTTAGTGACTATAGAAGGAATATATCGTAGTCCGTGTTGTCTTCCTGACGACTTTATCCTGAGACGCGTCTGTTCTTGGAGTAAGGCAGAATGTTGTCTCATCCTTGGAGACTTCAACGCACCGCATATCAACTGAATAGAGCACACAGCTTCAGGTGGAAGTTTCTATAGCGACCTTCTATCATCAATTATTCAGTATGCACTTATACAGTGTATCGTAAAATCGACACATATTGACTTGGACCATAATCCATCAGTGATAGACCTTGTCCTCACACACCACTGTGAAGATGTCGTCGACATTCAACGCCGTCCCCCCACTGGTGAATAGTGACCACGTCGTACTTTACTTTAATTTCCGGATACATGGTATTGAATTTGCATCTGCTTTACCCGGTCTTAATATCTAGAGAGCTAATATTCCAGCAATCGGAGACTGTGCTATCTCAATTTACTGGTCGGTCGATGCTGATGGATCGATCGAAGATGCATGGAATATGTTCAAGGTTACATTCGAGTCCGTAAATCAACCGTTTATCCCATGCTCAGCACGTAAGCTATCACATTGCCCTCCATGGATTAATAAGAAGTTGGTAAAGCGTAGGAAACACTTCTAGGAATTATTCTTGTCAGCAGAACAGGCGTTATATAAGTGCGAATATAAAAAATCCGGAATATATGTAAAACGACCATAGCTAAATCCCGTACCGCTTACGAACAACAGTTGTCATACGATAGCCGTACCTGTCTGAAGCGACTGTTTTCGTACGTTAAAAGGCAGACAAAACGTAGTGATTGTATCCACGTGTTACTGTTAAACGAAAATTCGGGTGTGTATCCCAAGACACCGTCTTAGGCCCTCTACTTTTCCTTCTCTATGTCAATAAAGTACATTGACATCGTTGTTTTCGGATGATGTCAAAGTCTGGAGGATAATAGGAAGTAAAGCTGATCATTTTCATCTCCAAGCTGACTTGGACGAATTAGTTAGATGGGCTCGCGATCAGGGCTTAGAAATTAGTTCCAGGAAGAGCGTGCTCATGCACATCGGGCACGGTAGTAGTTACCATTATACCAATGATAGTGCATCTCTTCCACGCGCCCAAAAACACAAAGACTTAGGAGTGACTATAAGTCACGACTTGGAAAATTTTACGCACTGCAACGTGGCTGCTTGCAAAGGTTATCGCGCGCTATGGTCACTTCACCGAGCATTTAAACGCTTTGACGAGGATATGTTTCGAATTTTACATCCCACCTTTGTAAGGCCACACCTAGCGTACTGTATCCAAGCAGCTAGCTCATCTCTGATAAGGGATACTAAATCATTTGAGCGCGTACAGCGTGTGGGGACAAAATTACTGAAGGGCCTTTCTAAGCTCCCTTACAATGAGCGTTTAAAACGTCTCAGCTTTTTCACCTTGTCTTATCGTAGGACACGAGGTGACCTTATACTGGCATTTCGTATCTTTAATTATGATTTGGGTGTTAATATTTCTTATTTTTTTGCTCCCTCCAGCACTAATGATCTCCAAGGTAATAGCAAAAATGTTCACAAACAGCGATCTAATAAACTAAAGGTGGGGTCCCGTTCTTCTCATCGAGTGGTCAATGACTGGAACGCATTACACAAATAAGTGATGTCAGCCTCATCAGTGAACATTCTCAAGGAGAAGCTGGACCTTCACTGGAAGGTAATCTTTCAGGATTAACACAGGTTCATCAACCTACTATCCATATTATTGAAGACTGAAGTAGCAGCGGATGTATTCTCTCACCATTAATTCACGTCTCATTCTCCTAATACCTTTTTAGTTTAAAGATACAATTTTAGCTGCAAAAGCCGTGAGCTCATTTAAAAGAGTTTGAAGTGACGTTGGAGCCTAAAATGAATGATATATTTAACTATATTTTTTACCTCAAGTTTTTGAAAAACGTTAGAAATCCTTCATAGCGTCATATGGACGCAAACTTAGGTCAGTGTCTGTTCTACTTCAGATTTTCCAGAGCGCCAATCGAAGAAAATCACCTCATTCTTTCAAATGTTTACGAGTACTTTCGACACCATTGTTTGTGTGGTTGCCAAGGCTTGGTACATGCCGCAGCTAAAAACGAGCCCACATTGACTTTCGAGCAATCCATTGATTTCTTGTGTAATCATGGGCCCACGGACAATGAAATCTCGAATGCTTTCACTTCTAGGCATATCTAAATATAATGCATCATAAAAAGTGAAGCTCACATATCAGATCGCCTGGATTTTACGAGATGTTCCAAGAATCTGCGAACATCGGTACTTCTGAACTACAACAAATAATTTGTACAGTTAACGCTTACCTTCTTGAAAAAGGCTCTGAAGACATGGAATGAACACAGTATTATGTCGCCATGACTGTGAGTAGACTGTACCGAGGAAATTTTGGCCACTGCCGGATGCGTGACAAAAGTACATATATCATAAATGCTGCATATTATGTCTATGAGGTAATCCAGTAATCCTACGACGTCTGCCAACTGGTAAGTTGTGTAACTGCTAAAAATAATATCATTCAAGATTCATCTCATACCATGCATCATTACGATGACATCACTTTCGTTACTTGAAGGGTGGACGTTATTAAACATAGTGTGGCTGAACTCAAATTAAATCTAAAATTGTCTTGGTTTGACCACTTCCGCGAAACCTTACGAGCAGTCGTCTCATGACAGTTTGAACCTCAAGAGCTCATTAACTTACATAGTGAACGATAATACTGAAGCGTTGTGAACACAATGTGTCCGTTTGTGCTCATCTACTTCTCTTTGTTCTTAATTGCGTTTCTTATGGGATTCCTGACTCGTACAATAAATCAACCACTTATAACTATTACACCATCATCACGATGGAACCTGTGGTGGAACAATCGGACATACATTCGAATTTTGATGCTTTTGAGGATTATATGGAAAGGTTGGAAATCTGGAGCATGACCAAGGAAGATGTTAAAGATGTTAACGATATTGCTAATTTCGTTGCATTCATTGAAAAACATGTCAACAACTAATTGGAAAAATCAACATTTCTAGTAAAGTCTATTTCACCTCTCTATGCAAATCTCAAATTACTGTCAGGTTATGTTACGTACACAAATTTTGGATGTGGTGTAGGAGGAAACTTTTATGGAATGATTCGTCAGGATATCAGGAATTCTACGTCTTTACTACGTCATCTCAATCCAATACACACTCATGGCGTTGAAGATGACAGTTAATTAAGGAGTTAGGAGGGAGATCATGAAGACGAGTACAGGTTTGGTAAATGTTTGTCCTGTGGAAAGTTTCACTTATTTAATTCATGCGTATTTCCAGATGCTAAATGCTTTAAATGTGGTAACAATGAGTACATTCAGGAAG